GACTCGAGAGAGGCCTGGAATTTGGTGGCAGTGATGTGGCTTCCAGCTCCCCTGACTCACATGGGCTAGCGGGTCCCAGACTCTCCGCCCCCCCAAACCCCGCCATCCCCACCATGGAATACATCCTCCTTGTCCTGTATTTCTCCTTTTTCCTCTGTCTCTGCACCCTGGTGTGTCTGTACTTTTCTGGCTGCCAGGAGATGACCTACAAGCATGAAGGTAAGCGGCCAGCTTTGGGGTCTGTTGCGGTCGTGTGAATATCAGTGGCTGTGATTGGAATGCTCCTTTCTGAGACCGGGATTATTGGGAGTGACGTGGATGAGGAGAGAGGAGGCCGTGCAAGGCTGGGCTCAGCCATGGGGCTGTTTATTTGTGTGCATGTGTTGGGGGGGGGTGCCTCCCCTTTTCCTCTCTGTTCACGTGATCTACTAAGAATGAGCACCTCTGTGCATTCAGCATGTCAGTGGAGAAGAAATGTTTATTTTCTGGTCATTGTTGCCCAAACTGCAATTCAAGCATTTGGGTTGGTTTATAGAAAGATGTCTGCAAGGCAAGGTTTTGGTGGCAAAGAAAATGGAAGTCCGGAGAGATGGGCCCTTTTCCATAGAAGATGCACTTGGAATGAGCAGAGATGGAAATCTTATGCTCCTATAGTTATTTTTTCCTTAGGAAATTCCCAGGGAATTTTCGAATGATGGAGGTTCCAAAAAATCAACAGTGTCTATTGTGCTTGACTTTCTTTAAAAAGCTGATTGTGAGCCGAGTGTTTGAGAAACAGTATTTCCAGGTGATTTTCCTTTCATTCCTTGGAGGCTTGTGTGTAATTTCGTGTATATGAACATGCAGTGGAAGGCAGGGTTGCTTGGTCTCCAAAGAAGACAGCCACCAGATTTTCACTTGAAGTGTTGTCTTTTTTTTTTAATCTTGTTTTTCGTTAATAAAGGCATAAATTTACGTGGTGCATTTTGGCTTCCCATATAATACAATCAATTAAAAAAAAAATACCTAACTCTCAGGAAACAAACCAACCCCACCCATATGTCATACAAGGTAGGGGTGAGTCATGGTGACCTCCCTGCTGCCTTGGAAACTCTGTGTGCTGTGGATTTATGGATTGTCTCCTCTGTGGTTATAGGGTTATATGTTTTTTATTCTTTAATTAGAGGAAAGTTGCTTTACAGTGTTGCGTTGGTTTCTGCCTTACAGCGGTGTGAATCAGTCCTAATTATATATGTATATCCCCTCCCTCTTGAGCTGCCCTCCCCACCCCTCTCTGGGTCATCAGAGTGTCAGGCTGCTGTCCCTGTGATTTACAGCAACTTCCCACCAGCTATCTACTTTACACATGATGGTATGTGTTTGTCAGTGCTGCTTTCTCAGTTTGTTCCACCCTCTCCTTCCCCTGCTGTGTCCACAAGTCAGTTCTCTATATTTTGAATGTCCTTGTGAGTTTGATCCCGCCTTCAGAGCTGCTTCTTCCTTTCTTCCCTGCAGCGTGCTTTCTCGGGTTCTGTCTCTGGAAGCACATGATACTTCCAAGGCTCTCCGCTGGGGTCCAAGCAGGTCAATCTAAATGCACAGCTGCTGCATCTGTAGTTAATACCCTGTGTTGTTATTTGTCGTTGTTTATTCAGTAAGTCATATCTGACTCTTTTACAACCCCATGGACTGTAGCCTGCCAGGCTCCTCTGTGCATGGGATTTTCCAGGCAAGAATACTGGGGTGGAGTGCCATTTTCTTCTCCAGGGGAATCTTTCTGGCCTAGGGATCAAACTCATATCTCCTGCATCTCTTGCACTGCAGACGGATTCTTTACCACGGAGCCACCTGGGAAGCCCAGTAGTCTGTTTTAGGGCTCAGTAATTCCCAGGTGGCGCCAGTGGTAAAGAACCCGCCTGCCAATGCACAAGACATAGAGACGTGGGTTCGATCCCTGGGTCAGGAAGATCCCCTGGAGGAGGGCATGGCAACCCACTCCAGCATCCTTGCCTGGAGAATTCCCATGGACAGAGGAGTCTGGTGTGCTTCCGTCCATAGGATCACAAAGAGTCAGACGTGGCTGAAGTGACTTAGCATGCACGGAATTGAGTATTTACCTCTCAGTCCCACAAAGTTTCAAAAAGCAGGTCACCCTAGGTATGGAACACTGAGTCATCACCCCCCAGAATGGCCCACGATGCCTGCAGTGCGAGACACCGCCTGGCCTCGGGTCCTGGTCGTATGGAGACCGTGAGGTGTGATGTTTCCTGGGGCTGCATCCGTGTGCCGGGCAGGGCCCTCCCTGCGTCACTGCTCCCTGCTGATGAGCACAACGGGCCTGTCTCCGGAGGCCTTGCAATTAGCAGTGTTTACGAGAAATAAGGTCAGCTGAGTGGCTGCCCAGAAAAACAAGCAGCCTGGGGCTCAGGTGAACCGCGTGTGTGCAGAGGAGCTGAGCGCTATGAATGTGTCCCCCATCGAAGGTCATGGCCACGGCTCCCTGGAGGTGTGGCGTCTGGAGCATCATTGACACAAACTCAGGGGGGATTTCTCAATCTGGGGGGCAGTCGGAGTGTGCCTTTGAGCATAGCATTGTCTCCTCCAACCTCCACTCAGAGAGGATTGCATTTGACATTGACGGGGTCTAGTAGGGACTCATGTTCCTACCTGATGGACTCGCCTGGGGCGCACAGCCAGCTGGTTGCCCACCGGTGCTGGCTGCAGAAGCAAAGGAAGGGGTGTCACGTGCAAACCCAAAACTACTGTGGAGGAACGTTTGTTTACCACTGAGTTCTTTGCAAATACTCATTGAACAACCAGTATTTCTTGAGCGTGTCAGGCCTTGACATCAGCACAATGTATCTTAAGTTAGGCAGTGAGGAGCACTATGGAGAAAAATAAAGGAAGAAGAACAGAGAGGCAGGGGTGGGGATAGGCCAGTTAAGACTTTGATGTGGTGGTCAGGGAAGTCTTGATAAGTTACATTTGTGCAAAAACTGGAGGGAAGGGAAGGAGAGAGTCACGTGGGTTCCAGGGGACAGCGTCTTGGCAGTGCAAAGGCCCTGCGGCAGGCATGTGGAAGGGGCGGAGGTGTGCCCGGCAGTGTGACTGGAGCCCAGTGGTGAGGAGGGGATGAGGCCGGAGCAGAGTAGGGGGCAGGCGCAGGGCCTGTGGACTGCACTGTCGATGTTGGCTTCTGCTTAAGTATAGTGCAGGGCCAGTGAGCTTTGAACAAAGGACCAACACAACATGATTCTTGTTGCAAAATAGTCACTCGGGCCACCAGGTTATGGGACAAAGGCAGAAGCCGAAAAGCCAGTAGTAAGAGGTGATGGTGGCTTGGACCAGGAGGGCGGTACTGGTTCGTGGAGGGTTGGATCATGGGTTGAAGATCGAGCCAGCAGGGTTTCTCTTGGAGGCGTGGAGCATGGAGTGGAGAAAGGGGCTGGTTTTTGGCCTGAGGAACTGTAAAGATGGAGCTGCCAGTGGTGAACACAGGTTAGTCCGAACATGGAAACAGAAGGTTCGGGAGTGTTAGGTCAGCATGCACCAGCCTCCCTGGAACTGTCGAGGAGGTGGCGGACGTGTGACCCGGGAGTTCAGAGGGCAGTATGTGCCCCACCTGTGTTAAATAAACAAAAAGCATAAGGCGAAAGCAGTTTGCAGAAACACAGATGCCAAATGCAAGGCCATCGTGGGTGACAGCCGTGGCCGGGTGCCTCCCTCAAAGCCTCATGAGAGATGCTAAACTGTACAGGATAACAAAGGAGCCTCCCTTCCCCTTGCTTCCTGGTTCTGAATTAGTTCCTAATCCTGTTAGGGGCACCAGCCACATTTTTCTGCCATCTGGACCCATGAGCTTGTACAGAGGCATTGGCTCTGACAGAGAGAGAGGTGCCTGAGCATGTAGGGAGTGCCTCTGTGTGTTGACAGGTGGGGAGGGACTCTGGGAGAACCTGGTTCAGATTACCGAGTGGGAGCTTGGCTCTGGATTTAGGTATGGTTCTTTCTTCACGGTCAAGAGCATCCCCTGATTTGTAAAAACAAAAATCCTTCTCAGGGCCTATTTGTGGGTGGGGGGAAAGCCAGTGTTTCTAGGACAAGGGATGTTGATCTGGTGATTGCCTGTTGGCGTCTGAGGCCCCAAGGGACAGAAGCTCTTTGAGGCAGGGATCAGGCCTGGTTTTGATCAGTTGTGGCCCCCCCAGGCCCCACCCAGGGTTTGACCCATAGAAGGCGCTCAGTCAGGTGTTCACTTAAGGAATGAATGAATAAGTGAGCGAATGAAGCCTCATCTCTTGTGATATTTGGGGTGAGAGAAGTGCTGGATAGGGTAGCTGGAAGCCCAGCACACAGAGCCTCAAAACTGCCTCTGAATCTGAGTACTGGGTGTATATAGGTCCATTATACCATTCCTTCTAATTTTATAAATGTGCTTGTTAAACTAAACTAAAATTGCCTGTTAGGGCACGTCTAGTGAGCACCTGGGTCTCCCGCCCCCCAACTTGCCCAGCCAGTCAGAACCCCAAGTCCACCTGTGGCCACTTTGCACCTCTCACTGTTCTATCTGACCTAGAACCCGACATCTCAGGTGGCCTGCCCCCGCCCTCCCCTCCCCCGACTCAGTACAGCAAGGCTGCTGCTCACCATGTGTTACCACGCTGGGCACGTGGCTCGGTGACCTCACTTTGTGCTCATGGGTGAGGTGGGGGGCTTGTGTCCCTCTGACGGAGAAGGAAGCTGGCGCTCAGACAGGCTACGTGGCTCCCTTGCAAAAGGTCATCAGCTCGTGAGCCTGGAGCCAGGGTCGGGCTAGCACCCTCTGCGGCCACCCTCCACCCTCTGACCACCTCTGGCTGCCTCCTTCCCCCTCAGCAGTCACGGCCCCCCCCCACCCCCCTCCTGGGATGCCCCCATGGCCCTGATGCACACTGTCACCCCTCTGCCCGCGGAGGATGGGGTGGGGGTATCCAGGCGACTCTTGAGTCCCTCTCTCATGCCGTGCAAATTGCCTTTCACAGAAGCATGTTGTGGAGACATTTTTTGGATTTGACGAGGAGTCTGTGGACTCGGAAACGCTGTCAGAGACGTCCTGCAACACGGACAGGACGGACAGGGCTCCGGCCACGCCCGAGGAGGACTTGGATGACGTAAGCGGGCTTCACCCCCGGGTGCTTGTAAAGGGGTGCCTCTCGCCTCACCCGGCCTCTGTAGCTGCAGGACAAACCTCGCAGGACCCCCAGGGAGGGGGGTCCCCACTTTCATGGGTTCTGAGAATGGTGATGGGGGGGCGCCTGCAGCCTAGTGGAGACCCTTTCCCTTCCCAGCACGGATTTCACACCGGAGACCTATAGCCACGAGGTCCGCTTGCCCTTTGTCATTAAAACTGCTGTGTGGTGGTCTGCCCCTCGCCATTGTACACACACACACACACCTGTGTATATAAAGATGGCGTGTCACTGTAGGAGAGGATGCGAGCAGCAGAAAAGAGCAGAGGGAGGCCCAGCTGGAACCTCTCACCCCGACTCCCCTCTCTCACGCTTTCCTGACCCTCCGTCTGCATGCGCATCCACCTTCCTGTCCTCTGCTCCCAGGAGCCTGAGTTACACAGAAGCAAAGAGCAGCCCCCCTCTCCCCTCCCCACCCCGCCCCGTGGGATTCACTCCGGAAACCCCAGTCAAACACGATCACGTCAGACACACACTCTTTGATTTGCCTTTTTCACCAAGAACGTGTAACAGGCATCTTTCAGCACCAGATGCTGTGTCGGTCATCATCCTCCGTCCCGAGCAAACCCTCACGGATCTGCTTGTGCGTCCAGCCTCACGGGCTCCTGATGAGAGGCGTTATGGGGATTCCAGTTTTTCACAACTTCAGCGACGCTCTTTGGGTGGTTGTCTCCTTAGGAGAAATCCCCAGAATGAGACCTGCGGGATGGGAAAAGTGAAAGAAAGTGAAGTCGCTCAGTTGTGTCCGACTCTTTGCGAACCCATGGACTGTAGCCCACCAGACTCCTCCGTCCATGGGATTTTCCAGGCAGGATATGGAGTGGCTTGCCATTTCCTTCTTCAGAGGATCTTCCCGATCCAGGGATTGAACCCGGGTCTCCCTCATTGTAGGCAGACGTCTTACCGTCTGAACCACCAGGGAAGTCTGAAGCCAGCAGGAAGCTGGCTGAGAGGGTGCCTGTTTCAGCGTGCAGTCAGGACTGGCGCACCCTTGCTCCCTGCACACAATTCAGTGATTCCCAGGGTTCGGGCAGCTCCAGGGAAGATGGTAGAGAAGGGCGTCTTCTCCCCAGAGCTCTCTCCAGAGCCCCCCAGTTAGGTCCTGGCCACAGCTGGTCCGTTACATGACAGCTGCCAGCGGTTGTGACATCTGGACATTGTCTTTGCCTGACTTGACCCTGGCACCACCGTTCACGACAAGTCACGGGCTTCCTCACGCTTTTCTCTTCCATGATGTGAAGACTACAACCCGAGAAGAGGCTGACTTGAGGTTCTGCCAGCTGACCAGGGAGTACCAGGCGCTGCAGCGAGCCTATGCCCTGCTTCAGGAGCAGGTGGGCGGGACACTGGACGCCGAGCGAGAGGCCCGGGTAGGTGCCAGGGGGAGGTGCTAGGGGGTCGGGCAGAGTCTGGGTGTCCCGTGCGTGCCCTTCCCAGCAGCCGGATTCTATAGGGGTGCTGAGAGGGAATGGAGTAACGTTCCAGCGTTTGGCAAACCTGATGGGAGCTACCTGCCCGTCCTCAGTGCGGGAGCAGGGTTTGCAGAAGAAATGCTGCCTTCCCAGTGTCCTGTGCCCCTTCCGTTGGCAAGAAGGGTTTCAGAAATTTGACTCAGTGATGAAATCAGACTCACTGTGAAATAGACATCTCTGTTTCCCGGCTGAGAAGCCCCCAAGAGTGTCCCTGAGGAGCGCAGGCAGGGCTGTCCGAGTGCTCGAAACCCACCCAGCACTCGCTCTGGTCCCTGCTGGCCACCCAGGTCTGGACCATACCAGCCTTCATGGCTGGGCTGACCTCCACCTTCTAGTAATGTCCACTCACTGACCATTAGCCCATCTTAGGGAGTCGCACAGACCAGTCTCGGCTGGCCCTTCCCTCTGAAGGCAAGAGGGACCCCTGGGAGTGCTCCTGCTGGGGGTGACTTTTCACCCCAGCACACCCCCGTTTCATTCCCACAGCAGCCCTGTGAGGTAGGGGGTGGCGAATGAGGCTGTGCAGGGAAGTTCCTCGGCTGCAGTAGTGTCAGCCTGTAACCTGTAGGTCAGAGGCAATACACTGCTGGAGGTGGTTTGGGCTGAAGCATGGGTTTCTTATTAAAAAACTTCATCTCCTTGCACCGTTCAAAAGCCAAGAGATTTCACGTAGAAGTCTGGGTTCCGGCTTCTCTTGAGAGCTCAGAGCATCTGGCAGCACCAGTTTTCCCATTCCGTGTGGTCACCTTTGGCCGCAACTTCAGTGGCAGTTTCAGTGGCTGCGGCTTCAGTGGCAGCCCCCCCGCCCTGAGCTGAGACATATGCCCTGGTTTGCCACAGTCCCCACCGCTCCCTAGTACCCCTCACCCAGTCAGCCTCTCTAATTTATACTACCCGCCTGGTCCTCGGGGTATCTGGTTTTCAGCCCTTGCTGTAGGTGACACCTTTGTCAGGAGATGGGCTGAGCGAGGGTGAACGTGTGGCTGGTGTTGGTGGTACAGCCACGGCACTGGATCAGGAAGCTTGGATGGGAGCTGACCTGCTGGCCCCTCACTCGCCCTCGTGAAGAAGCTGGCCGCTTCTCCAGGCTGCAGGCTGCAGGGGTAGCGCTGACGGCCTCTCAAGGCCTTGCAGTTCTTCCAGGTGTCACACCCATAGGTGACAGAGGAACCAGGCAGGCCAGTCAGCACGTGTGCTCCTAAAAAAAGGACCCGTTTCTCAGAACCAGATTCCACCTTGTCCTTTCCCCTTCTCTGTCATCATCCTGGGTGACCTGCTCACTTCCTGGTCCTTTTCATTTCAGACTCGGGAACAGCTCCAAGCTGATCTGCTGAGGTGTCAGGCCAAAATCGAGGATCTGGAGAAGTTACTGGTTGAGAAGGGCCAGGTGAGCACAAACAGTTACGTGACCCATAGCTCTTTGAATTTCTGTCCCCTTGGTGGGGTCACTGGGTCTTGGTGCCCAGGTGGATGGTCTGTCGATCTATATCATTTGCTCTGGAGATGTGAGAGGAAATAAAAAAAATGTTAGCAGAGTTCATGCGGGCCTAGCCCAGTTCATTTGCGTCTTTACCAGGCTTTTAAAAATCCAACATTAGTTACGAGAGCCTAACTTGGCTTTTTCTTTGTTTGTTTGCCAAGTGCACAAGAATAGGAAACAACTCCAAATGTAAAGTGATAGCAGAATCTTTTCTGACTTGAATCTGGAAGAAAAGCTGACACTGCCTATGAGGATTCAGTTGTGCAAATGAACCTGCAGCTAGCTCTGAGTGATGGCAGAGGTGGCCTTGGGAGCTGGTCCAAAACTCTCCATGAGGCAGGAGAGCAGTGCAGAATGAGCTGAGACATATGCCCTGGTTTGCCACAGTCCCCACCGCTCCCTAGTACCCCTCACCCAGTCAGCCTCTCTAATTTATACTACCCGCCTGGTCCTCGGGGTATCTGGTTTTCAGCCCTTGCTGTAGGTGACACCTTTGTCAGGAGATGGGCTGAGCGAGGGTGAACGTGTGGCTGGTGTTGGTGGTACAGCCACGGCACTGGATCAGGAAGCTTGGATGGGAGCTGACCTGCTGGCCCCTCACTCGCCCTCGTGAAGAAGCTGGCCGCTTCTCCAGGCTGCAGGCTGCAGGGGTAGCGCTGACGGCCTCTCAAGGCCTTGCAGTTCTTCCAGGTGTCACACCCATAGGTGACAGAGGAACCAGGCAGGCCAGTCAGCACGTGTGCTCCTAAAAAAAGGACCCGTTTCTCAGAACCAGATTCCACCTTGTCCTTTCCCCTTCTCTGTCATCATCCTGGGTGACCTGCTCACTTCCTGGTCCTTTTCATTTCAGACTCGGGAACAGCTCCAAGCTGATCTGCTGAGGTGTCAGGCCAAAATCGAGGATCTGGAGAAGTTACTGGTTGAGAAGGGCCAGGTGAGCACAAACAGTTACGTGACCCATAGCTCTTTGAATTTCTGTCCCCTTGGTGGGGTCACTGGGTCTTGGTGCCCAGGTGGATGGTCTGTCGATCTATATCATTTGCTCTGGAGATGTGAGAGGAAATAAAAAAAATGTTAGCAGAGTTCATGCGGGCCTAGCCCAGTTCATTTGCGTCTTTACCAGGCTTTTAAAAATCCAACATTAGTTACGAGAGCCTAACTTGGCTTTTTCTTTGTTTGTTTGCCAAGTGCACAAGAATAGGAAACAACTCCAAATGTAAAGTGATAGCAGAATCTTTTCTGACTTGAATCTGGAAGAAAAGCTGACACTGCCTATGAGGATTCAGTTGTGCAAATGAACCTGCAGCTAGCTCTGAGTGATGGCAGAGGTGGCCTTGGGAGCTGGTCCAAAACTCTCCATGAGGCAGGAGAGCAGTGCAGAATACACACTGCGGCCAATAAGCCACAGGCCAGCCCTGCCTCTGACCTGTTGCACAGCCTTGGGAAAATTACATGATCCCTTGTGCCTCAGTTTCCTCATCTTTAAAACGGGGCTAATAATAGTACTTAATACATAGGGAATGGGGGAGGAAGGAGACTCAACACAGCCTGGGTGGAGTCCAGGTGAGAGATGAGGCTGTTTTCACACTCCTGTCCTCACCTGCCATTGACCTCAGCTTCCCTCTTTCAGGCTGAGCTCACAGGTTGCAACTTGCCCAACCACAGTCTACGATTAAGTTAACCTCCCACGTGAGGTGCTAGGCCCTGTTTTTGGGCGTGCTCTGCCCCCAGTTCCTGCTAAATAAAGGGACCAGTCTGGGACAAAACACATGGCCATTCATTCAGCGAGCACTTTACCAAGAGCCCTTGCCCTGTGCCAGGCTCTGTGCTCAGCGTGTGGGATAATGTATCAGCTTGCTATTGCCGCCTGACAAATCACCCCAAAATTGAGTTGTTTACAAATAACAGAAATTTTGTGTGCTTGCAGTTCTATGGGTCAGCATTTTGGGTGGTTCTTCTGCTGGTCTCTCCTGGGGTCACTCTAGAGGTTTCATTTTACAGGCGATTAGGGCTAGATGGCCCCAAATAACCTCATTGTCCTGTCTGTGCATTAGTGCCAGCTGTTGGCCAGGTTCTCATGGTCTCTCGTCCTCAAAGACTGGCTCCTTTAACTAAAGGTCTTAGAGCAGGAAGAAAGGGCAGCCCCCAAAGCACAAGTATAGGCCATGCCTCTGCCTGCATCACATTTGTTAATATGCCAGTCACCAAAGAATGCTGCAGCCATACCCAGCGGCGAGTTTGCTCCTTGGGAGGAACTGCAGAGTCACCTTGCAAAGGGGCAGAGCCATGGGAGGGACATTGCCAACGACCTCCCATAGGGAAAAAGATGAATGGACCCAGCTCTGGACTCAGCCTCATGGGCCTACACATGTGTCAGTCCTGGGAAGACCCAGGGTGATACATGATGGGTAGAAGGAAGGAAGGGAGGGAGAAAGTTCCCTTGTTTATACCTTCATCCATCCCCTGGCATTTACTGAGCATTAGCTGTGTGCCGGGCACCGTGTCAGGTGCTGGAGATGCTGGTATAAAGACAGACTTAGCCCCCCGGCTCATGGAACGTTCCTGGACAGAACTTGCCCAGACAAAGATGTGGTTAGACAAAGGGTCTCAGACGAGCAGAAGTGTGTTACTATGATGACACCAGGTCCACAGGCACATCCATGGGGGTGTGGCCTGAACACTCGCCCTCGAGCCTAAGAGGACAAGCCCTGCAAGGGTCTGCCAGGATCAGCTCAGCTGTGCTCCAGGCGTTTTTCTGTCAGTGATAACAGATGTTCAGTTAAGTCACTCAGTTGTGTCCAACTTTTTGGAACCCCATGGACTGCAGCACGCCAGGCTTCGCTGTCCATCACCAACTCCTAAAGCTTGCTCGAATTCATGTCCATTGAGTCAGTGATGCCATCCAACCATCTCATCCTCTGTCTTCCCCTTCTCCTCCTGCCTTCAGTCTTTCACAGCATCAGGGTCTTTCCCAATGAGTCAGTTCTTCACATCAGGTGGCCAAAGTATTGGAGCTTCAGCTTCAGCATCAGTCCTTCCAGTGGATATTCAGGACTGATTTCCTTTAGGATGGACTGGTTGGATCTCCTTGCTGTCCAAGGGACTCTCAAGAGTCTTCTCCAACATCACAGTTCAAAAGCATCAGTTCTTTGGTGCTCAGCTTTCTTTATGGCCCAACTCTCACATCCATACATGACTGCTGGAAAAACCAGTAGCTTTGATACAGATGAGTTCCCTGAAATTTAGGGAACATGAGGAGAGGAGGAATGCACCACAGACCTGCCAATTCTCTTTTTCAGGATTAAACATTTAGCACAGTGGTTCCCAACCTTTTTGGCACCAGGGACCAATTTTATGAAGACAGTTTTTCCCCTGACCAGGGTGTGGGGGGGAGGGGTTGGTTTCGCTATGATTCAGCACCTTACATTTATTGTGCTCTCTATTTCTAATCTGACTTACTAGAATTGACTCACTAGAAAAGACCCTGATGCTGGGAAAGATTGAAGGTGGGAGGAGAAGGGGACGACAGAGAATGAGATTGTTGGATGCCATCACTGACTCAATGGACATGAGTTTGAGTAAGCTCCTGGAGTTGGTAATGGACAGGAAAGCCTGGCATGCTTCCATGGGGTCACAAAGAGTCAGACACGACTGAGCAACTGGACTGACTGATTTCTAATCTAATGCCTCTGCTGATCTGACAAGAGGTCTGGTTCCTCGGCTCGGAGGTTGGGGACCCCTGGTTTAGAGGGACAGTGCGATCATTCTAACTGCTTTCCTTCTCTCTGACCTTTTCATAGAAAGGTTCATATGAAGTAACCTTTCCCACTGATGCTTTGTTATTTAACTGTCTGCTTCAATGAGTATGAACATATTTAGTACTTTTCCTTAGGATTCCAAATGGGTTGAAGAGAAGCAGCTGCTCATCAGAACAAACCAGGACTTGCTGGAAAAGGTACGTGGCACCAACACCCTGAGCCCCACCCCAGGGGATCATGGAGCCCGGGGCCTGTTCTGGCTGCCGAGTTTCACCCATGCCCATCCTGAGGGCCCCCACCCACTGGTCCTGTCTCTGTCCTCTGGGTCGGGGCCCGCAGAGCTGGTTTGCAGACGTGGTGAGGGTTGCCAGTCCTTCTGATGCTGGGCTTCCAGGCTGCCTCTGACGTTGCCTTGGATTCCAGAACACTCCCCAACCCCCCCCCCCACCCCCACCACCTGCTCCCCAGGCAGGGGTCGGCGGGCAGATCCTCGGACAGTCATGGTCCATTTCATCGACTGGAGGCCATGGTGCTGGCAGAGCCAAGCTTGTCCTTCCCTCTGTGGTCATGGAACTTGTAGGGAGTCGGCTTGAGTGGTAAATCTAATGCTTTGGGACAATACCTCAGCTTTATTTTTTTCTTATTTGTGAACAATCCANTCGCTCAGTCATATCTGACTCTTTGTGACCCCATGGACTATACAGTCCATGGAATTCTCCAGGCCAGAATACTGGAGTGGGTAGCCTTTCCCTTCTCTAGCAGATCTTCCTGACCCAGGAATCAAACTGGGGTCTTCTGCTTTGCAGGCAGATTCTTTACCAACTGATCTGTCAGGGCCTTCATTTCCATGTACTGTCTTGGATCTCACTGCAGGCCGCCAAGTAGGGGCTGCTCTGTGCTTCTGTGTCATCCAAGGAGCTACATAGCTGGCCCAGAGTCTCCCAGTAGGTCTGGGACCCAGGCAGCCCCACTTCCCAGACTTTCGGATCTCCTACTCACAGGAGCCCTCTGGGGAGTCCAGGGCACCTTACTAGTGCAACTAGCCAGACCCTGGGTGGGCTGACTCTGGGAGATTGGGATAGAAGAAATTCAGACAGGCTTGGGGATCACTGTTGCTTCCCCAGGACTGACCTTTGGAAAGGGACTCAATTGCTCTGTGCCTTAGTTTCTCCACCATTCGTGTATTCAGCAAATACCTGGCCCCCATGCCGGGCCAAGCTTGGGCCGCAGGGACAGAGCAGGCACAGCCTCTGATCTGGGCCATCCCAGCCCCCGGAGCAGAAAGGGCCCATCTTGCACACCCACTGAGACCCTCCCCTTCCCACCCTACCCCTGGTAACGGCCCTGTGTCCCCAGGTCAACACCCCGGGGGCCCGTGATACAGGACATGTTCTTATGGCCTCCGAGGAGAAACAGCGGTTCTCCCACCATTAACCCGCAGCTGTCTCTGGTTTAGATTTACAGGCTGGAAATGGAAGAGAGCCAGCTGAAGAATGAAATGCAAGACGCAAAGGATCAGAACGAGCTGTTAGAATTCAGAGTGCTAGAACTCGAAGTAAGAGACTCTATCTGTTGTAAACTCTCAAACGGAGCAGACATTCTCTTTGAGCCCAAACTGAAATTCATGTAAAGTCCCAGATGTTTTTCAAGCATGTGTAAGGGGACGTGTGACACTTGTTTTCTTTTCTTTCTTTCTTTTTCTTTTTTTTTTTTTAAATCTGTATGTTGAGAATAATTTCACTGCCTTAATATGTTCTGAAGAGAATGCTCACCGAAGTCTTTGGACATGTACCAGAGCTAATCTATTTATTGCCTACGGCTTGTTTTTGCACTTAATAAAATAATTTGTTTTTGCAATATTTTGCCTTTTTTATTTGTGTTTCATTTCCATAACTACTTCTTTCCTGCATGCATAGTCACCTGGTATGCCTTCTGCAAACACGGACAGAAGCACTGTTGCAATTAATAACACACCTTTTTAAAGTGACCTTGCATGCATGAATATCACCTTTTGAAAGAGCGGGGTCTGACCTGGCCTGCGGCTGACTCCGTAATGTGTTTACTGCTAGTTTGGCCTGTTTTCTCTTTGCAAAGGTAAACACAAGGTAAGTAAACAGGGTAAGAGGAGGTATTTGCAATAGGTGGTTGAGAAAGCTTGTAACATTACTCCAACTCCTTGACGCAGTGAACGCAAACCTGGGCATCGTGAGCAGTACTGGACTAAATATGTCTGTAACTCAAACTGCAACTCAGAATGATTCCCTTAGCGTGAAGGGAGATTGACTGTTGTCCACAGGTAGAAACCCTGTTGCAAACCTTCAGTGACTTCCCAGATACACAGAGCTGGGTCCAGGGTGAGGACATGGGTGGTTTTATTGCTTCCAACTGGAACCCTGCCTCGGGTGTGTCACTGTATTGCCTTGCTACCACCTGACTTCATAATCCTTTTTCGTTTATTTGTTTCCATTTCAAACTCATCTACATGTGACACATCGCCTGAGTTTGTGACTGGTTTTCTCTAAGCATCTGTGGAGACACGAATCTTCTTTCCCTCGACTGAAGCCTTTGCATGTCCTGAACCCTTGGTAAAAGTGAGCTCCTTGGAAATGTTGGTGTCTCTCAGATTTCATTTTCTCCTCTCAGCTTCAGTTAAAATTCTGCTTTCCCTAGTACAGGGTTTCCCTTGTGGCTTAGCTGGTAAAGAATCCACCTGCAATGTGGGAGACCTGGGTTCGATCCCTGGGTTGGGGAGATCCCCTGGAGAAGGGAAAGGCTACCCACTCCAGTATTCTGGCCTGGAGAATTCTATGGAATAGTCCATGGAGTCACAAAAAGTCGGACACGACTGAGCCACTTTCACTTCACTTCACTTCCCTTAGAGCATCTCATCCTGTACTTTGTTGTGTGGCATGGACCGTGGCCTGAATGTCTCAAAGCCAGGTGTTGCCGTGTGATTCAGCTCTTTCCTGAACATAAACTGAGCCCTTCATTCAGGCAGCAGAAGTAGAAGTTATGAAAGATTACGGTGAATATTCTACCACTGTCAGAAAACCTTTCACGGCTCTTTGCTACCCGCCATTTCTCATGAGACTTCCATAAGCATTGGTCACTTTACTAGAACTTTCAAATGTTTCCACCATCCTTTGGAGGACCCATTAGAAATCAGTTTTCTGACTTTCATTCATATAAAACATGAGCTTTCTTGTGTCACCTTTTCTATGGAGACCCCCTGTAAGTAAGTATTACAGGTAGAAGAGACATCTATAGCACGGAACCATTGTGAATGTGGTTGTTCTAGTCTAATGAGGGAAATAAGGTTTTCTATCTAAACTGTTTCAAACCAGGTTAGCCAGATTGGGGCTTGGTGGAAATTAATTGATTTGATGGCCCCGCCCTTCCCCTCTCCTTTAGAGGATCTGCTTAGGGACCTGCCATCCAGTGCTGCCTTGGCCACATTTCTTAGTTAACGGCTAAAGTAACTCTTTGGTTCTGTGGCTCAATTCTGCAGCCGTGGTTCAAAGCAAGCTTACTGACTGTAATTTTGAGGAAATAAAAGCAGTTTGATTTCAAGGTATCATTTGGTGAGGCCTTGGCTGCTGGCTGACCTGTCCATTGCTTGGGGTTTAAAGGCAGCTCTGTGTAGGAAACGCATTTGAGACCAGAGTACTGTTTCGCTGGTCTCCTTTATTTCTGTAAGTAATTGGGCATCTCAGTCCCTTTTTAAAAATATGTCACTTTACGTATGATTAATGTACCACCTCTGGGAAAATGCTTGCTCTCCTTATTTAGTAGTTGAGATCTGATTTATCAATCTAAGGCAGTGGTAGAATGATCATTGGAAGGTTAGTGCAGATCAGAAAAAAAAAATCATGAACAAAGTCAGAAGATCGTATTGAAAAAGATATGAAGCCAGGGTCTGGGGTCTGGTCGTGCCACTCAATCGCATGGGACCTCGGAGGGGCCCTGTCTCACAGCCTCCTACTCTCTGTCCACAAAAACGGAAGCGTTCACGGCTACCTCCTGGGGTTGTGTGAGGATGAAGTGAGCTAACAATGACTTCTATTGAAATTTCCCGCGATTATTCTTCATCAAGTATTTAATGATGATTGTGTGACTTCCTGGGCTTTGATCAACAGGTCCACTCCTGACACTCTGCTAACCGTTTCTTCCCAGCTGACTAGGCTAAGAAGTGACCCAGTGTCCGCAGGGGATCCACTGCGGGGCAGACAGGACGGCGTCTCCACCACGGACGAGACCATAGCCTGAGTGTGCGCTTACTAGGAACACCTTTGCCAACTGGAGTTCCTTGGTTTTTTGCTGAATAACGTGGGAAAATGACAAGTGGTGAAATAATCCAATAAAGTTCTGTTTTTAAACCAAATCTTTTCCCCAGGAGAGAGAGCGGAGGTCGCCAGCATTTAACCTCCAAATCACCACCTTTCCCGAGAACAACAGCAGCGCCCTCCAGCTGTTCTGTCGCCAGGAAGGAGTTAAGGTAGCGTGCCCGGGGGGGTGCCCCCACTCTATTACGGCCATGGCCCGCTCGCCCGAATGCCAGGCTCAGCTGGAAAGGGGATTGTGTGCCTGTGCCAGGGCTAGAACTGATTCTAACAAGATAACCCCCTGTCGCTCCACTCTGTTTTGAAAGTCAGAGTTTATCACTCCAGCTGGGTCACCAAATTTGTATTCATGTTAAAAGAGCAGAGTCTTGGGATACAGCCTTGAAAGCAAACCCCACTTTGGCCACTTCCTGGCTCTGGCTCAGAGCCTGTCTGACCCTCAGTCTCTTCATCTAGGAGATCTGAGTGGCAACACCCACACCGTGAAAGGGGTGTGACAGTTTTTAAACTAGATGATGAACCTGAAGACTCAGTGAAGTGCTCAGAGCAGGCTGAGTGTTCTAGAGGGGGGAGCTGTGGTGATTCTCACAACCGCTGGCCGTGACCCTGGAATCCTGCTAGACCCGCGGGCACAGCGAGGTCCTTCCGACCCACAGGATCCCATGAGAATTTCTAGAAAGCATTGTTTGTGCTGGTGTAAAACTCAGCCAGTACAGAGCAGGTAGCAGCCCTCTCTGCTTGAAGGGACTACCAAGAGTTAACTCTCGGCCCGGCCTTATATACTAAGAGACAAGAAGGGAGTGGTGTCTTCCCAGGAGTGAGGGCTGTGGCCCCAGAGATTGGTGTGGATGGCCTTTGTAGCTCACACAAAATGAACGTTGGACATCTTTTCCAGGATGTGAATATTTCTGACCTTATGAAGAAATTAGATATCCTTGGCGATAACGGGGTAACTATGACCGATCGGTTTCCGGTTTCGTGTCCTTGTTTTGATTCGGGTGTACTCTGTTGTGGCTTTTGTTTCCGTTTTCGTTTTAATTTCTTCCTGATTTAAGAGATCGACTAAGTACAATGTAAGGCTTTTGTATGGCCATGTTCCTGCGTGGGTGGCTGGGTCCGCATCTGTCAGAAGTGGGGTTCTGGAGTTAGGTCATCCTGACAGCGTGTGAGTGATGAGGGTTAAAAAGGCCTAAAAATAAATGCCCGGAAAGAAAGTGGAAGCACTCAAGATCTCTGAAATCCCAAAGTGAGACTTTTGCCTTCTTAAAAGACTGGGCTTGAGCGAGGCCCTGTTTCTAAAGAGCTTGGGGACGCTGTGTCAGGTGTCCCAACCCCCAAAGGGCCGGTCCTCAGACCTGTCGCTTCTGTGAGTTGGGGCTGACCCTGGGGAGGCCGCTTTCAGAGTCGCGTAGGGCTGACTGCACGGGATGTGGGATCAGTGTAAAACGCCCTTGCCCATTTTTGTGTTTTAGAATTTGAGAAATGAAGAACAGGTTGCAATAATCCAGGCTGGAACTGTGCTTGCCCTGTGTGAAAAGGTAGAGCCCAGCGGCATTTCTGTCCATACACCTTGTCCAAGCTTCCTGGCACCATACAAGAAACTGTACATTGGCGTCTCGCTTTGTTCTGGAAGCATGGTTCTGGTTTCCTGTCTGCGTTTGCATGCGCACGTGCACGCCTGTTCGTTTTCCAGGGGAAAGTCACTCATGCTTATGGTAGAAAGCTTAGAGACTGAGAAAGAAAATCAAAACTTCCCTCGAGGAAACCCATCTGAGACAGTTGGTTTTATTTCCTTCCAGTTTTTTTTTCACCCATGCTCCCCCGCCTTTTTTTTTAAAAGAAAAAAACAAACTTTGGGATCATACTTGACTTTAGCTTTTAATCCTGCTTCATAAGCTTCCCCCCATGAGATCGAACGGCCCTGCATCATTCTACCTACAGCCACGCCCTCAGTTAAATATTCTTTCGCTGTTAACATATTGGAGTATTTCTGCTCTTTTTTTCTGTTTATCATCATGCAGTGATGAGCAAGCATCTTTAATCATAAACTTCTGTCTATGTTTTAAAATACTTCCACAGGATAGATTCTAGAAGTGGGATCACTGGGCCGAGGGTTTTTAAGAGCTTTGATACTGTCCAGTCGTTTCCAGAAAAATGGTACCAAGTCAACTTCTACATGAACACTATCTCTGCCAGTTTCTTGTTTAGCAAGGCATATGTGGCCACTAAGAATTCTGCTGATAGGATAGGCAAAAATCATATGATGTCATTATTTTAATTTTCATTTGTTCAAGTGCTAGTGATAGTGAATTTTTTGTGTATTATCCATTTTCTTGCTCCTTGAGAATTGTAATTACATTCCATTGCGTTTGTTTGTCATTCATTCATAGCTTCATTCAATCACGCTTTCATCTTTTCACTTATTTAATATGAATTTGGTCATAATAATGGTTTTTCTTACTGACTTCTCTGTGAGGTTTACATGCTAAAGATAATAACTTTTGCCATATTTATTAAAAAATACATTACTGACTTGCCTTTTACGTTAATTTAGGGTGTTTTAAGACATACCCAACTTTTCAATGTGGTTTTGTCTATGGATTTTTTTCTTGTAAACATGAGCTAAATTTTAAAATGCTATTTTTATAATGATGAGGTCTTAATGATTTTAATCAGGATTCCTTCCAGAATCTTTGGGAGGATATTTAAAATGTAAATAGTTTTTTTGTTTTCCCCTGAGCACCTGTCCAGCCTTCCCTGTGCACAGGGCCCTAAATGTTGGCAACAGACTTACGGCTAAGCCTTGCTGAGGTCACACAGCTGGTAAGTGGCGATGCCCACGTCACTGTTAGCAAGGCATATGTGGCCACTAAGAATTCTGCTGATAGGATAGGCAAAAATCATATGATGTCATTATTTTAATTTTCATTTGTTCAAGTGCTAGTGATAGTGAATTTTTTGTGTATTATCCATTTTCTTGCTCCTTGAGAATTGTAATTACATTCCATTGCGTTTGTTTGTCATTCATTCATAGCTTCATTCAATCATGCTTTCATCTTTTCACTTATTTAATATGAATTTGGTCATAATAATGGTTTTTCTTACTGACTTCTCTGTGAGGTTTACATGCTAAAGATAATAACTTTTGCCATATTTATTAAAAAATACATTACTGACTTGCCTTTTACGTTAATTTAGGGTGTTTTAAGACATACCCAACTTTTCAATGTGGTTTTGTCTATGGATTTTTTTCTTGTAAACATGAGCTAAATTTTAAAATGCTATTTTTATAATGATGAGGTCTTAATGATTTTAATCAGGATTCCTTCCAGAATCTTTGGGAGGATATTTAAAATGTAAATAGTTTTTTTGTTTTCCCCTGAGCACCTGTCCAGCCTTCCCTGTGCACAGGGCCCTAAATGTTGGCAACAGACTTACGGCTAAGCCTTGCTGAGGTCACACAGCTGGTAAGTGGCGATGCCCACGTCACTGTTACAGTACCGGGCTGAGTCTGCGTCCTCAGGTGAGCGGGGGTGAGGAGGACTCACAACTGGCTGGCTGTTGGCCCCTCAGATACGGGTGATGGTAGGTGACAGTGATATGGTGTGCATTTCGAAAATATCCTCTCAGCAGGAGAGCCAAATGTGACAGTGTAGCCTCTTGGGGGTCACGGAGAGAACCCGACAAGCGCTTTCAGTTTATTCCATGTTCATTCCGACATGCACTGCTTCTGACTGTCCAGCGCCCAGCACGCCTGGAGGATGTGGTGATGCCACACCCAGGACTCCCTCCTGGTCCCCCAGAGGCCCTTCCCAGGCTGGCTCTCAGCCTCACACCCACTAACTGCAGGGGCTGCTGCAGGCCGGCCCCTCCATCTCCCTGAGCCCTGAGCCTTGCTGGTGAACATCAGGACTCCAGGACACGGCACTTTTAACTGGGACCAGGCTGGGTACTGAGAGGTGACTGATCGATGCGTAAGGATGGTGAGCAAAGAGTGGGCAATGCGAGGGACCAGGGTGGGGCTGGAGCAGTGGGCCTGGGAAGGGAGTCTCACTCTCTTCTAGCCCCCGAGCATCTTGGAGGGTGGCAGGCTGTCCGGAGTCCCTGGCCCTACTGAGAACAGCCTCTGCCAGGCATCAAATTCTCCCACCCGGACGGACCCTTCCCAATAAGCTCCTCCCACATGGAGCAGAGATCTTTACAGACTCACAGCCTTGGCCCCACCTCAGACCCTCAGGGCTCCACAACAGTTGTGCAAGGTGAGCGGCATAGATCCCTTGTACACCGAGAACATGGGGTCTGCCTGGCATGAGGCTGCTATCTACTTTGACCCTGTCACCCACTCCTTGCCCACCTATAGCAGCCCCTGCTGGTCGCTAACCATAAAGTCCCATGGATGGCCAGCGCCATGCTCTGCTTCCTAAATGCAGAGACCTGAGCCAGCAGCCCTTGCCTGCCAGCTCCCCCTGACATCCCACAGGGGTGGCAGCAGGAGGGGTGGTACCCAGGGTTGGCACAATACCCAAGACTGGTGCTTAGAAGCTGGACTCTGTGCCAGTGAGAGGGGCCCAGCTCCCCATTTTGGACAGTCCGTGGAGACTGGACTTAGAGACAGATGTCTTCTCATTTTCTCAGCGACATTTCTCATTTTCTCTGCTGCGTGTCTGTGATCGAAGGCCCAGTATTTGGGAGGTGCCTTGTCTCCCTCTTGGAGAGAGTTGGCGCTGAGAGCACACACACAGAGGAGAAGTGGGTCAGTGAGAACCCCTGGAAGCATCTACAGGTCAGCCAGGGTGCCCAAGTGTCCTGTTTGCCTAGGATGTGGGATTTCAGTGCTGAAACGGGGACAGTCCCAGGCAAACAGGGGCAAGCTGGACACTCTGGAGCTGACGGGTGCTGTAGGAAAGCTGGCAGTGGGACCCAGAGCCCCAGTGACATCCTCAGCCAGCCCCCCTCAACCAAGTCATATGTCATTTTGAAAATTGCCATTCCATTCTGGTATCTGACCAAACAGAGGTCGTTTTCAATTTTCTCTCTAAGAGCATGAAACCCCTTTCACAACCTGTGAGCAAAGTGCCACTTAAACTGGTTTGCATGGCCTTGGGCATTCCTAGGGGTGCTGGTGCTAGGTGCTAAGTCGCTTCAGTCGTGTCCGACTCTTTGCAACCCATGGACTGTGGCCCACCAGGCTCCTCTGTCCATGGGATTCTCCAGGCAAGAATACTGGAGTGGGGTGCTATTCCTCCTCCCGGGGATCTTCCCGACCCAGGGATCAAACCCATATTGCTTATGTCCCCTGCACTGGCAGATGGACACTAGAGCCACCTGGTTGTGCACCTGCTCACCTGCCCGGGGAGCTTGCCCTTCTTCCATCACCACCTGGGGAAGCCCTGCTCCTCCTGGGAGGTCTGGCCCATCTCAGCACCCGCCAGAACTGCCTCTGGTCAGCAGAGTCCAAGATCAGGGGTGTTGCCTTGCGACCCACTGCCCATCACCACACAGAGGCTGAGCAGAGAACACGGGATGTCTGGGGGCATACAAGCAATCACAAGTCACTTCTCTTCTCCCACAAGGCCAAAAATCAGTCAAAGATGGAAGTTTTTAAAAATCCGGGCTCTCACTGGTATTAACAACAGATTGGAGAATGTGGCTTAGGTCACAGGCAAGTTTTCTAGTAGTTGGCCCAGAATTAAGGCCTTGGGACCCTTCTCTAAAAGGAGGGTTGGGTCCTAGACGAGGAAGTTCCCCACCCCTGAGCTCTGGGACCAGAGTCCTGCACTGGTGGGCAAAGTGCCAACTGGGGTGGGGGTGTGCAGTGGCCCATGAGAGGCTCCTTCCCTGTGCCCTGCGGGCTGTCTTACTTCTCCTTTAGGGTTTTGGAGGCAGCAGGTGCCCTGTCCCCACGCCTCTTCCTCCTGGAGGGTGGCACAGCCCTGAACTTCCAAGTTCTCGCCCACGGTGAGGCCCCATAGACATCTGGTGGGACTCTGATATGAAATCCGTGCCCTCACCTGCCCGGGTGCTCAGGGCCAGCACTTTCTGTCCTCACTTTAGTCCCCCAGTGGCTGGAAAGGACCTGTCAAGTTTTTCTCTGTGTGTGCCTAATGTGCGTGGGCTTCCCTGGTGCCTCAGCTGGTAAAGAATATGCCTGCAATGTGGGAGACCTGGGTTCAATCCCTGGCTTGGGAAGATCCCCTGGAGGAGAGCATGCCAACTCACTCCAGTATTCTTGCCTGGAAAATCCCCATGGACAGAGGAGCCTGGCAGGCTAGAGTGCATGGGGTCAGAAAGAGTTGGACATGACTGAGCGACTAAGTACAGCACAGCTAATGTACAAAGCAAATTTTTTTTAGTTTTTTTTTTACTGCGTAATGTGCATAGCAAATCTTTTTTGTTAGCAATAAGAAAAAAAACTTGACATCATGTTCTATAAAAGCAAAGAGCAGCTTGTTGTAATGCTTCGGAACTGGACTTTTTTTCCATTTTGGTTTATTCATTTTATGACTGCTTGCCTTAGGATAGTACAAAGAAAGTCTTTTTCATTCCTTGTCAAAAGTATGTTTCCCAGTTTCTAAGACACTGCACACCCGCTCAGCCTAGTCTAAGGAAATGGTGTGTTGGGCACTTGCTCCCGTGGTTGCCTCTGTAGCCACCCTTGGGGGCCCAGCTAATGTGAACTCTAGTGGGAGGCCCTGTGGGTGCAGCTTTATCTAGGCTTGTCCGTGCTATGGAGTCAGCACGCGCCTACAGACCTCCACAGCCCCGTATCCCCCTTCCTTCAGGAAGTGACTATCAGGGGCTTGCTTCAGGCCAGGCCCCGTGCAGGGTGAGGAAACGTAACAGAGCACACCCCATGTGGTGGGACAAGGAAGGAAGCAATCTGTCAGCTGAGTGCTGTGCCGGGATCCGTGGAAGGCCTCGGACCCCACAAACTCAGGAAGCAGGGCAGGCTTCCTGGAGGAAAGAAAGAAAGAAAGAAATTGAAGTCGCTCAGTCGTGTCCGACTTTTTGCGACCCCATGGACTGTAGCCCACCAGGCTCCTCCGTCCATGGAATTTTCCAGGCAAGAGTACTGGAGTGGGTTGCCATGGCCTTCTCCAGGGGATCTTCCTGATCCAGGGATCGAACCCAGGTCTCCCTCATTGTGGGCAAATTACCGTCTGAGCCACCAGGGAAGCCTTCCTGGAGGAAGTGACACCTAACACAGGTCCACAGGCTGAGTAGGTGTTAGCTCTATGAAGACCCGGGCGGAGGCTGGGGATGGGAGAAGTGGTGACGTTCTGGGCAGAGAGAGGAGGTGGGCAGAGGCCGTGAGGTTAGGGAAGGCGGGGCTGTTTCCCCAGCGTTGTCAGGAGGGCTAGGCTCTCCTGGGGGGCTTTAAGTGGGAGCAGGGAAGGTCCACAAGTAGATGCTATGTGTTTCCGAGAGAAGGCACTGGCCGAAGGGGATCTGGGGTTAGACGTGAGCTTGGGGGCTGAGAGGGTACCTGCCTTGGGCGGTGGCAATGGAGAGTGGTGGGCGGGGTTTTGAACCAAGAGGCAGTAGAACCAACAACGGGAAGTGAAGGGGGAGGAGCTATGACTGCTCTGCTTTCCCTTCCGAGGTCAAGGTGAAGAGTTATGGCTGCTTCAGTTCCCTTCCGGGGTCAAGGTGGGGTGGGGCTCTTCCCTATAGAGGGGGTCCAGTGAGCCGTTTCTCAGGGGCTTGAGGCATCGGACTGTGGGAGACGTGTCTGGACTAAAGGAGGCATTTCAGAGACATTTCAAAGAGGGAGAACTCATAGGGAGGTGAGAATCCCCGGAGGAGGACCCCACTAGGAGAGAGAGGATGACCACGGACAGGGGCTCTGAGGGCCCCCAGAGTCCAGGAGGGGCAGCCATGACCCGAGGAGGAGGACAAGGGGCCTGGGAGTGGCCCAGCTGCTTGGCCGGGGGGCCCCACGGCAGGGAGGTCGTCTGTTGGCTTTAGCAACGAGGAGACAAGAGGTCTGGGGCGTCGGGATGGGGAAAGTCCACAGGCGAGCGGCAGGCAGGCCCCATGGCAAGGAGGTCCCAGTCGGTACTCTCAGGCCATCACAGCCTGCCTGGCTGGACCTGCCTCCATTCCTGCACCCCACAGTGCCCCTGGCTATCCCAGGTGGCTGCAAGGGGCGGCTGTGGGGGTGTAGACCTGCAGGCAGGGTTCAAAATCCCTGCTTCTCACCCGTGTGACCTTAGACAAGTGACTTAATTAAGCTGCCGTCTCCTCATCTGCAACATGGAGTGACGCTGCCTCCTCCACGGGGTGGTCGTGAGGGGGCTGGATGAGGTCCCAGATGGAAAGCCGCCAGTACACGGCACAGTAGAACCCTGGGAGGCTCGCCCGCCCACCTGGGGGGCTCTCAGGGCACACACTCGAAAACTTCCACATGCATCCACCGTGCATACCCACCACCTCCTCTACACATAGGCTTACCTGGGCACACACCTCACACCCACCTTCACGGACATATACACACATGTGTACTCATGGTTCCTGAGCAAACATCTGTCGAAGCTGAAACATCTGTGCAGACTGTGAAATTCCATTTCGAGGACCACCGTGGGACATGTGGGGGGACCCCTCCGGGCCAGGAGCCTCCTTGAGGAGGGCGGCCCCACGACGGGTACTGGTTCTCACCAGCTGCGCCCTCTGTCCCTGCTGTTTTCCAGTGGCTGAAGCAAATAGAGGGAACGGAGGCTGCCCTGACCCAGAAGATGCTAGACCTGGAGAAGGAGAAGGTAAAGGCCATGCCCCAACCCCAGGAGGGAGGGGGTTGACAGAGTGCAGATAACTCACTTCCTGGGAAGGATTTACGTGTGTTTTATAATGATTTGCATGCATTTCTAAATTTTGCTTTTGCTCTCATCCCTATCCTGTATGGTCATCATCCATTCACTCAGTTATTCACTTGATATGTGTTTTTGAAGCCTCTGCGATCCTGGAAACTATGACAGGATTAGGCGTTCAGTAATGAATAGCAGGGTCCCTACATTGAGGGTCTAGCCTGAAAGCCCATGGGGACATGTGCGTGGGAGCCGACAGGCACAGTGCAGCATGAGAACCTTAGGAGAGGCAGGTCGGTGACATGGAAGCAAATGGACCAGGGGCTCCCGAGACAGAGAAGGGACTCCAGTGTTCGCTTGCTCCTTCCTGGACATGAGTTTGGGAGAGACACACTGGACCTTCATTTCCTCATGGCTCATGGGGTTTTCTGTCTCCACCTTGATGAGCTGGAGGGATGAGAGATGCTGCACGCATAGCCCATTTTTGCACAGTGCTTGGCACTTGTGGGCACCTGATAAACAGTGATGGTGGCTATTCACCAGGGGCCCTGGGCATAGAGCGGGATCTGTCATACCCAGCCTGGGGGTTTTGGAGAAGGCTGCCCAGAAGAGATGGTTCTTGAGCTTTCAAAGACCAATTTCCCCAAGTAGAAGTGAGGGGAAGAAGGAAGAGCCCGAGGCCTGGAAGCAGCGCATGGCATGGGAAGAGCCCTGGGCTGAATCCCCAGGCCTGGGTGTCTAGTACACATCCATCACCAGTGAACCATGGCATCTAGAACAAGGCACTGGTCCTCTCTGGCCCTCTGTTTCCTCCTCTACAAAACCAAGTGGCTGCAACAGCTGAGCTCTAAAATCGAGTGGCTGCAGTAGCCGAGCTCTAACCCTGAAACCCTCCAGTCGGTAACAGGAAGATATTGGGGTTCTGGCAAGCTCATGCCTGGGGGGATGGAGAGTGGGGAGGACATGTCCAGCAGGAAGAGTACCCAGGAGGTGGGTGATGCTGCTGGTAGGGGGAGAAAGAGTCACATCAGAGAACTATTGAGATGGTCTTCAGAAGGATTCCTGCAACCCGGGCTTGGGAACCAGGCCAGGCACCCAAGAGGAAGAAAGCTGGGGGGAGTGGGGAGAGGCTTGATGGAGGTTCCTGGGCTTGGGAGGCTCCTGCTAGGGATTCACACAGGAGCGAGCAGGGCAGACCTGACACCCTTTCTCACCCGAGCACCTGGTGGGTCCCCACCTCGGTGGGAGTGTCACTCTCCAGCGAGTGTGGGTAGGCTGGCTCTGAAGAGCTGCCAGGTGGTGGGTTCTCGTGCTGATCTTGACCTTGGGCACCTCCTCTTTTTCAGGACCTGTTCAGTAGGCAGAAGGGCTACCTGGAGGAGGAGTTGGACTACAGGAAGCAAGCCCTAGACCAGGCTTACCTGGTAGGACCGGAAGTGGGTTGGATGTTCTGGTTCTTTAGACTCAGCAGTACAGGCTGCTCTCCCTTGGGGGCTGATGGTGAATCTGGGGTCCATGAAGTGCTGCGTGGGTGAGATTCCAATGCCACCTCCACATTTCGACTGGTTACAACCCGAATGACTGTACAGATAAATGGTCACTTTTTCCAAGTCAGTCATGAGTTTTCCAAAGTATTTACTTAGCTTGATCATTTTCTCTGGGCATACTTATTCAGTTCTGGGCTTCCCTGGGGGCTCAGACAGTGAAGAATCCACTTGCAATATGGGAGACCTGGGTTTGATCCCTGGGTTGGGAAGATCCCCTGGAGGAGGGCACGGCAACCCACTCCAGTATTCTTGCTTGGAGAATCCCCATGGCCAGGGAAGCCTGGCGGGCTCCAATCCACCGAATCACAAAGAGTTGGACACCACTGAGCGACTCAGCCCATACACTCAGTTCTAGTAATCATTTGAGCTGAAGGAAAATAAACTTTCTGCTTATTAATATTTTTATTAATATTTATTTACATGCTTAGAGCCCAGAGCAAGTTTTCCCATAAGTAGCAAAAAGAGACAGTCACAAAGGAGTTCCACAGAGGTGGGACTCCCCAGGCAGTTCAGTGCTTAAGACTCACACTTGCACTGCAGGGGCACGGGTTCGATCCCTGGTTGGGGAACTAAGATCCCACATGCTGCATGGCATGGCAAAAGTATTTTTTTAAAATAGGAACACAGAGGTAAAGCAGCGAGTGGAGGGCAGGTGATCATCAGAAAAAGAATTATTTGTCATGAGGTTCTGTGCAACATAAAGCCTGGGTCACAGAACCAGTTGTGGGCTTCCAGATGATGAATGTAAGGAGGGACCATGCTCAGGTTCATAGGTCATATGGCTTTGAGGGGGCATTTCCTGGATGTCCGTCGATCAGAGGGAACTTTGAGCTCAAGGCTGCTTTTTCAGGAAGCAGCAGTGAGTAGCAACATCTGGAGCAAGACTTTGCCCAGATCATTTGTAGCTAAATCATTTGACAAAGTGGCTTTCCACCTAACAAATGCAGAATTAACAACTAAACATTAACTTGCAATCCCCATTTCCATGAAGACAGAGAGCAGGAAGCTGGACTTAGCACAGGCGGGACATTCTGGACGTGAAGGCTGGTCCACCTCCCCGTGAGCCTTGACCCTTCATGTCCAGGCTCCAAGGCTTGAACCCCCAGGGCAGGGAGCTGCAGTTGGAGAAGGTCGAGGTTTGAGACTCATCACGACAAGGCGTTTTCCTCTCGATTGTCATTTCTGAGCATACAATGTTGTAATGGTGGTCAGGGCAGCTGAAGAATGAGAACATGTTCATTCTTTTCTCCCTCTCTTTCACTTTTTTGGGTTTTCCTTGATTTTATCTAGTCTTCATCCTTTTGCAAATACCCTTTCTTCATGATACACCATCTCTGTCCTCCCCGGGGCTTCACCAGTAAGTTCCGAGGAATACAATTTCAGGGGATAACGTGGAAACCTGTGGCCAAAAAAAAGAGGGAGAGTAATTTTGTTGACCTCTGGCTCCTTAAATGCTTAAGGATGAGCTGGGACTCCAAGAGGAACAGAGGAAGTCGTATGTCAAGTTCACTGGTTCTCGGGCCCTCTTCTCAAGGGACATCTTCCAAGGCTGGTGTTCCCCAGAACACTCTGGGAAACTCAGTGTCTGCCTTGGCTGTCTAAGTGCCGTGTGCATAAAGGACCTACCCGGGTCCTGGTTCTGTAGAGGAGACCCCTGGGCAGGCTGATCCTGTTGCTGGGTAGAAGCAACATTCTTACCCAAAGAACATTCCAGGAACTTCTCTGGTCTAGCGGTTAAGACTTCGCCTTCTAATGCAGGGGGTGTGGGTTCTGTAGGGGGTGTGGGTTCCATGGGGGGTGTGGGTTCTATCCCTGGTCAGGGGGCTAAGATGCCATATGCCTCAAGGCCAGAAAACCAGAACATAAACCACAGGGGCAAAATTGTAACAAATTCAATAAAGACTTTAAAATTGTTCCCCTTCAAAGGAAAAGGAAAAAAGGAAAAAGACTATTCCAAAGCCTCAGGTGGGATTTCAGGCACATGTTGAGGTTGGAGCTGTGATCAGTGTGAGGCTGACCTGATGAGTCAGGGAAGTAAAATGCTCCTGAGGGTGGCAGGGCCATGTGCCCAGGCAGAAGTGAGGACAGCAGGTGCCAGACGCACACCTCTGTTCCTTTGTCATCATGTAGAGTAAGATGGCACAGGGCCACAGTGGAGCTTCTGGAATTGGATGGTGAGATCCTGGCTGGAAACTGGCCACTTGGGGGCCTCCTAGGAGTTCGGCTGCTGAATGGGGGCAGCCTGCAGGCACAGGCAATCTCCCACTCCATGGGGGCCCCTTGGCTATGTCAGTGGACACATTCCCACCTTCTCGTTTCCTGGGGTGATCGCTGGAATCAGGAGAGGGGAAGCCAGTGCCTGTTGGCTAAAATTGATCTGGTGGGCCTGGAATTCCCTTGCGGAGTTAGTACAGCTGTGCTGAAGCGGGGGGCTACAGGAGCAGATGGCCACAGGTGCAGAGTGCTACCTGTGTTGACCCCCTGCTTCATACCACCTCCTGTCTCTTCCTGGCAGTTTCCATTAAAACTGGTTGTTGGTTGATAACATCTTGGGAAAAGAAGGGGCTATTCCTAGCAAGGAATTCAGGTGGGGACTTAGGGAGAAAGAGAAGGAAATACTTCTTTCTCTCTTTCATCCCTAGATATTCCTATAAGGTAACTGTATTTAAGTGTCTCACCGTGAAGTTGAAAAGAAATAACTTCCTCTCAGGATGAAAACTCCGAGCTTTCACAAAGATCCCCTTTATTGGCTACTAATCTCTCATGTGCTTTGCTAACCAAGGGAGTCTTGCTTTTTGCGGGGAGGAGGGAGCAATGAGGACATTGCCCCCAGTTGCTTGGGGTTGAAATTGCTTTTCTAAGCCAGCTGAACTGCCAAGTGCCTGCAATTTGGGACACATTTTCCCACGCTACTCCAGATAAAAGGAGAGATTTGTTTCCCAAGCTGGAGACAGTAAATTGGAAGCCAAGGATAAAAATAAAGATGAGTCCAATCAAACCTCTTTTTGAATCAGATATTTTAAGGAGAGATTATGACTATTTTTTCTTTATCTGTAGAGAGCAGAGCATCTTGATTGAATAGAGTAAGACACGTTCTCAAAACTGTGTGCAGGGGGTTGGAAGGGGCTCCGTCACCCCACCCCACTCTGCTCGGCCCCCGCATGCCTCCCTGCCCGGCCCAAGATCCCCCAGCTCAGCCTCGCTCAGCTGCAGTGCCCTGGGGTTTCCTGTCCCCCCACCTTGTGACCTCACACTGTCTGTGTCATGTGGGTCGCTCAGAAAATCCAGGAGCTGGAGGCCACGCTGTACGATGCGCTGCAACAGGAGCCGGGGCGGAGGGCCAGCGAGGCGCTGAGCGAGGGCCAGCGGGAGGACCTGCAGGCCGCCGTGGAGAAGCTGCGCCGGCAGATCCTGCGGCAGAGCCGGGAGTTCGACAGTCAGATCCTGCGGGAGCGCATGGAGCTGCTGCAGCAGGCCCAGCAGGTAGGGGACGGGCCGGCGGGGGGAGGGGCCCAGCAGGTAGGGGACGGGCCGGCGGGGGGAGGGGCCGACAGGTAAGACAAAAGACAGGCAGGNTAAGCACACGGGGGCCAGGTTCCCAGGACTCGTGGTGCCGATGGAGCTGAGGCGGCCCCAGGGTCCGGCAGTCTTTGGAGGCTCACTGCTTTAGATCTCTTACCCTACGGCACTCCTGCGGGTGGGACGATTACCTCCGTTTCCCTGATGCGAAAGCTGAGGCTCAGGAAGGTTAACTCATGTGCCTGAAGGCCCTACAGCTCCTAAGGAATCCTGCCAGTGAGGAAGGATAACCGGTGGGAGTCGATGGCACCGAAGGAGAGGGAGACAGAATTGGAGGAAGGAGCCGGTGGAGAAGTGCCTTCTGTCCGAGGCAGCAGAGGGCCCGGTTAGGACTAAGAAGCGAGGATTCCCATTGCGTGTGAAAAAGGGGCGCGGGGGCAGGGCAGGCACAGCTGACTGCATTTGGGTGAGGAGTGGAAGGGCTGTGACCAAGGGGAAAGGGTACCTGGAGGTATGAACGCGAGCTCTTCATTCCATTCTTGATTTGGGTGAAGGGACTCCAGGCAGCCCCTGCAGGAGCCCCTGGGCTCCTGTGCTGCCGTGATCTGCTCGCCAGCCGCTGAGCTAGCCGGCTATGATGGGCGTGGCTCCTGAGCGACCCGCCTCTGATGGGCGTGGCCCCTGAGTGACCCGCCTCTGATGGGCGTGGCCCCTGAGTGACCCGCCTCTGATGGGTGTGGCCCCTGAGCCGTCTGATGTCTGGCACGTGCTAGGTGTTGGCTGAGCACCTTGAGCTGCAGCACACACAACGCATACAACACACCACTTTCAGAGCAGGACACAATATAGCACAGCACAGCACAGCACCGTCACGGGCTCCGGCAGCACTCGGCCGTGTCTGACCCAGCCTGGGGCACCGGATGCCTGATTTGACCAGAAGGACACATCCCAGGTTGCCGTGGGCTGCACCGGTCTGTCTTGCCTGCATCTAGCCAATGGGGTGCAGTGACGTCTCCAGTGTGACCCCTATGGACGTTTTATTCTGGACGTTTTATTTTTCAAGCGCTATTAACTGAGGGGAAAAGTGGATACAGAGGGCAAAAAAAAATCAATCAGCACATGGCCCCTTTCTCAACAGACTCATTTGGCACATTTGAACCATGTTCTGCTGTAGTGAAGATTGGAGTTAATCCATTCATGTCAACTTGCTTTGTCCTATCCCTTCGAAACCCCACAACCCCTGTCCCTGCCAACCCATCCACTGCACCCTAGAAGCCTTCCTAACACAGTGCAGCACCACCCTTCCCCAAAGACCCATCCTAGCTCCCCACTGCCCAGAGGATGAAGTCTGGGTTGCTTAACCTGACATTCTGACACTCCTGGACCCTGTGCTCACCTCTACAAATGCATCAGCTGCCTCTCTCACCAGCTTTTCCTGCTCCATGTCACACTGTTTCCATTTGTAACTTTTCTAACATCTGCATACCAGGCACTGTTCTCTGGGTTGGAGACACAGCACTTGCCCCCTTGAGGCTTATATTCCAGTGAAGGGAAACAGACCAGGGCTGGCACTTAGAGGAGGCTCCATAAATGTTGGTTCATTGATGGTCACACCAGCCCTCTGAGTGGGGGCCATTGACACAGTTTCACAGGTGAAGTGAGTGAGGCTCAGAGAGGGTAAGCAACTTGCCAAAGTCACACAGCCAGGAAGTGGCAGAGCTGGGATGTAAATACATGTCCTTAGATGGCAAAACTCTTAAACACTGCCCCTTCCAGCCTCCCATAACCAGGTGAGAGGCCAACCCTGGTTGTTTTTTTCAAAAAGTCATGAAAGACTAGAATGAGAGTCAGCTTCTCAGGCTGATTTCTTTTTAGATAAAGATTTTTTTTTTCACTTAATCTTTTTTTTTTAAATTTTTACTTTATATTGGGGGTATTCAGTTCGGTCGATCAGTTGTGTCTGACTCTTTGCAAACCCATGAACCACAGCACACCAGGCCTGCCTGTCCATCACCAACTCCCGGACTCCACCCAAACCCATGTCCATTGTGTTGGGGATGCCATCCAGCCATCTTATCATCTGTCGTCCCCTTCTCCTCCTGCCCGCAATTTTTCTCAGCATCAGGGTCTTTTCAAATGAGTCAGCTTTCCGCATCATGTGGCCAAAGTATTGGAGTTTCAGCTTCAACATCAGTCCCTCCAATGAACACTCAGGACTAATCTCCTTTAGGATGGACTGGTTGGATCTCCTTGCAGTCCAAGGGACTCTCAAGAGTCTTCTCCAACACCACAGTTNAACACCCAGGACTGATCTCCTTTAGGATGGACTGGTTGGATCTCCTTGCAGTCCAAGGGACTCTCAAGAGTCTTCTCCAACACCACAGTTCAAAAGTATCAATTCTTCTGCGTTCCGCTTTCCTTTTAGTCCAACTCTCACATCCATACGTGACTACTGGGGGTATAGTTGGTTTATATTGTTGTATTAGTTTCAGGAGTACAGCAAAGTGATTCAGTTTTATATATACATATATCCACTTTTTTCAGATTCTTTCCTTATATAAATTATTACATAATGTCAAGTAGAGTTCCCTGTGCTATACAGTAGGTCTTTGTTGATGATATATTTCATATGCATATGTTAATCTCGAACTCCTCGTTTATCCCTCCCACCCCAACTTTTCCCTTTGGTAACCATAAGTTTGTTTTCAAAGTCTGTGATTCTTTCTCTGTTTTGTAAGTAAGTTAAAAAAAATGGACAGATGATCTAAATAGACATTTCTCCAAAGACATACAGATGGCCAAAGAGCACATGAAAAGATGCTCAACATCACTAATTATTAGAGAAATGCAAATGAGGTATCACCTCACACTTGTCAGAATGGCCATTGTCAAAAAATCTATATACAATAAATCTGGGGAGGAGATGGAGAAAAGGGAACCTTCCTATACTGTTAGTGGTAATGTAAATTGTACAGCCACTATGGACAACAGTAAGGAAGTTCCTTGAAAAACTATACATAGAATTACCATATGACCCAGCAATTCCGATTCTGGACATATATCCATAGAAAACCATACTTTGAAAGGATACATGCACCCCCTATGTTCGTAGCAGCACTGTTGACAATAGCCAGGACATGGGAGCAACCTAAGAGTCCATCAACAGAGGAACGGATGAAGAAGATGTGGTACATACATATAATGGAATATTACTCAGCCATAAAAAAGAATGAAATAATGTCATTTGCAGCAGTGTGGATGGACCTAGAGATTATCGTACAGAGTGAAATAACTCAGACAGAGAAAGACAAATACCACATGACATCACTTACATGTGGAATCTAAAAAAATGATACAAAGGAACTCAGACTGATTTTCAAAGCCCAGAAGTTGTTCCTGGGAGACTTTTGCAAATCCTTGGAAAACTGTAAGAGGTTGTCCCCCCGTCCATGTGGCATTGTGGTTTACAAGGCACTGTTCCCTGGGTGCCCATTTCACCCCCAGAGTCACAGGGTCACTGTTCAGTTATTACAGAAGAGGAATTCCACAGAGAGATTAATTGATTACATGACAACCGGAAGTCCACCAGTTGGTAAATTTGGGGCCCGGGATCCAAACCAGAGTCTAGCTGAGTTTGTGCTCATTCTTAGGTGATCCCCACCTTGCAAGGGAATCTCTGAGGATCTGTCACTGACTCCTTCAGGTGGAAGAGGATTAGAAACATAATCGGTCTCCTTTATAGAGCACATACTCTGCCAACTTTACCTTAAGCACTTGGCAGATTCACTTTCTAAATCATCAGGTGTGGGCAACACTACGACTCCCAATTTACAGATAAGGAAACCAAGGCCAGAGAGGCTGAGTTATTTGCCCAAGGTCACATATCTAAGTGAAGGTTTTTGTTGTGTCTTTTCCTTATGAGTCAGGCCTCTCTCGTGGCTCAGCTGGTAGAGAATCCACCTGCAATGCGGGAGACCTGGGTTTGATCCCTGGGTTGGGAAGATCCCCTGGAGAAGGGAGAGTCTACCCACTCCACTATTCTGACCTGGAGAATTTCATGGCCTATACAGTCAATGGGGTCGCAAAGAGTTGGACACAACTGTGCGTCTTTAACTTGCTTATCAATCCACTCTCTGTTTTGCTGCCAGTGTGATCTTTCCAAAATCAAAATCTCATTATTTACCTACTTAAAACCTTTCACAGACTCCCCATGACACCCCTAAATCTGCAAGCTCCTTACCAGGACATTACAGACCCTCTGCCCCCTGGCACCCTCAGCTCCCTGCACGTATACATCATTCCTTCTGCCTGGATATCCTTCCCCTTTCCTGCATCTGGAAAACCACCATCGGCTGGGTTCTGTGCCTCCTCCAGGCCCCCCAGCCCACACCTCAATTCCTTACCTCCCTCACCTCTCTGCTCAAACTTGACCTTCCCTGAGTCCCCATATAAAATAACACCCCTTCCCTTTCCCTACCCCACTTGATTTTCTCTGTGACATCTGTATTTATCCAGGGCATCATCTATGTATTTGCATAATTCCATTGTCTGGACCTGATGGACCACAAACCCCTCGAGGCCCCAGGCCTCTATTGAGCCATACCTGCTGAGTGGGCACGGGGCCCATTGAATCATACCTGTTGAGTGGGCACATGTGCCCACAGTGGTGATTCTCAGAGTGGGGTCTCCAGACCAGCAGCATTCCTATCACCTGGGAATCTGTGGGGAACACAGCTTCTCAGGCCCCACCCTGGAACTGATGAGTCGACAACCCTGGGGCAGGGCCCCGGGGATCCACAGGGCCTCCAGGTGATGCTGATCTGAGTTTAGGAATCTGGGCAGAAGGTTTCTTCAGGCCTGAGGATGGGTCTACATGCTTAATTCGGGTTGATGTGAATCGCCTGGCCTTCAGTCCGACAGCCTTCTCCCAAGGAATGAGGTGTCCATTTGCATTCAGGACTGGCGATTCTAGCAGCTGTCTGGGCATATCAACCCTCTCGGGTGATGAAGCGCTATTGGACACATGACAAACTGGAAAAGGTCATACCTGCCAGGACTCCTGTGAGGTGCTGCCTGGAACTGGAAGGAACAGATTGATAAACCGCTGGGGTGGGTGTGCAGCCCAGGGAGCATTCAGCAGGTGCAGAGCCAGGCAGGTGGCCAGCTCGCCCTGTTGGCTCAGGACTGATGAATTTCTCAAGACTCTGGACTTTCATTGCTAAAACCAGGAATGTCCCAGGCTCACGGGGACAGTTTGTCATCCTTAAACCTCCTAAGAACCTGGGTGGATGCTGCAGCCATGCCCCCCATCAACACTCATCTCCTCTGCCCCAGCTCCCAGGCTCTAGCTAAATAAATCTTGGACATGTCATTTGGTGCTGCTTCAAATCCATGAGCTTTATTGACCTGTCCAAAAGACACCTCCGAGTCTTGGTCTCATCTTGATGTTTATGTTTTCTAAAGATCCTGCCTTAAGAGTGCAGTCTGTTTCCATGCATTTCAAGAACAGGCAAAAATCTACTTTTAGTGAGAGAGGTCAGAATAGAGTTGCATGCGGGCCTGAGGGAGCTTCCTGAGTGCTGAAGGGGCCCTTGGTCTTGATTTAGGGGGTGGAGAGACAAGCCTGTCCATGTATAAGAGTTAGTTGAGTTACCCACTTAGTGTTTGTATGTTAAGCTGCTTACTGTTGTTGTTGTTCAGTTGCTAAGTTGTGTCTGACTCTTTGCGACCCCATGGACTGCAGCATGCCCAGCTTCCCTGTCCTCCACTATCTCCCAGAGTTTGCTCAAACTTATGTCCATTGAGTCAGTTATGCTAGCTAACCATCTCATCCTCTGCTGCCCCCTTCTCCTTTTGCCGTCAATCATTCCTGGCATCAGGGTCTTTTCCAATGAGTCGCTGCTTCACGCTACACCAGATAAACGATAAAGAGTAAGATTTGAACCTGGAAAATTTACTTTTTCTGATACAGAACTTAATGTGTTGCAGAGAGTCCGAGAACTGGAGGATAAGCTGGAAATCCAGAAGCGACACCTGAAAGAACTGGAGGAAAAGGTAGGGGTGTGAGCTCGTACAAGCCCCTGGCTTCTTTCCATGAACTGCTCACATGGAATATTCTCTTCTGTCAGTTTCATGAAACCTAAATAACAGGCTCTGTCTTCAGCCCTCTCTTCTCTGCCCGTGTCCCCCATACTGGCAGTCCCAAGAAATAAGTGCTTTTCTAGGGAAGAAAGTCTGAGCCCCTCTGATACTACCTCACTGGGAAGAGTGAGGTGACCTTCTTCATGAGCCATAAGACATTGGGTTCATTCCCCTTAAATGGCATTTATGCCGAGAACCAGTGAGTATTCTTCCCTTCAGGGAAGTCTCTTCCTTCCAGCAGGAAGTGAGGCTGATGCCCAGTCTCACTGGCCCCTATGGTTGTCACCACTTTATGGGTGAGGACACTTGAGCCTGAGAAAGATTCAAACACTTGTCCACAATCCCACAGCTGGGGAGGGATAACCCGGATCTCCAGGGATTCCACAGTCACCCCACCAGCGCCCCCACCACACATTGCTGGTCCAGACAGATAAATGAGTCCATATACATGGCATCTTTGTCAGGGCACTCACCACTTCCTGTTCATCTGCCCAGTGGCCAGGACTTCCTTGAGTTCAGGGACCAGCTTTTATTTATCTCTTTATCCAGGACAGTTCTAGGCATGAAATAGGGCATCAGCAAATGTTTGCAGGATGAGGAATAGATGAGTAGAAAACCCAGGCTTCCTTGGTGGCTCAGGCAGTAAAGAATCTGCCTGCAATATGGGAGACCTGGGTTTGATCCCTGGGTTGTCAGGAAGATCCCCTGGAGAAAGGAATGGCTACCCACTCCAGTATTCTTGCCTGGGAAATTCCATGGACAGAGAGCCTGTACAGCCCGTGGGGTCACAAAGAGGCGGATACGACTGAGCGACTAATATACACACACAAACACACTTACACAGAAAATCCACAATTGCATATTTTATGTTGTAGAGCTAACTCGTGTTTGGGAATAGGTGATGGACTCTGACACCAACTTGGGGTGGGGGGTGTCTACTGGGGACAGTGTGCCACAGAAAAGCTTGAGGGGTGATGTGCTGCCACCCTGGAAAACAAGATGGGGAAAGGATATTTCTGGGCTTCAGGTTTCTGAGGCTGATCTTTGGAGAGAGGAAGCTGACTCATTCCATGGACGGAGTAGGGCCAGTCACGAAAGCCGCCGGAGGGCAGACTCAGGGCTGTCTGCAAACGGGCTGACAGCTCACCCTTTCTAGAGGGAGTCAACACAATGACCCAGAGATGGAGCAGCTCTTCAGATGCTGCACCAGCTTTCCCTCCTAAAAGTCAGCTTTTACACAGATTAACTCAGCCTCCTAGTGTCTTCCCTCCCACACCTGGAGCCCCAGAGCCTCCCAGCCTGCACAACCGACCGTGTCCTCACGGGGGCAGCAGAGGGTAACGGCTGGAGGTTCTGGGCCCGTTCTGCCAGAGCCCTGGAAACCCGCCAGGAATTTGGTTTAAGCAGACCTCTAGAGTCCCCGGGTTTCCCTTGTGGCTCAGCTGGTAAAGAATCCATCTGCAATATGGGAGACCTGAGTTCGATCCCTGGGTTGGGAAGACTCCCTGGAGAGGGGAAAGGCTACCCACTCCAGTATTCTGGCCTGGAGAATTTCATGGACTGTAGTCCATGGGGTCTCAAAGAGTCAGACACAACTGAGAGACTTTCACCTTTACTAGAGTCCCCATAGGGCTTCCCTGGCGGCTCAGCTGTAAAGAATCTGCCTGCAATGCAGGACACTCAAGTTTGATCCCTGGGTCAGGAAGATTCCCTGGAGGAGGGCATGGCAACCCACTCTGGTATTCTTACCAGGAGAATCCCCATGGACAGAGGAGTCTGGCGGCTATGGTCCACAGGGTCGCACAGAGTCGGACACGACTGAAACAACTAAGCCGCAGCAGAGTCCCCATCAGACAGCTGCTCACCACTCCCCCCACCCACCCACACAACCTCTGAGGTTATTTTGAGCAGCCAGTGAAAGCAAAAGTGTTAGTCACTCAGTCGTGTCCAATGTACTGTAGCCCACCAGGCTCCTTTGTCCATGGGGATTCTCCTGGTAAGAATACCAGAGTGGGTTGCCATGCCCTCCTCCAGGGAATCTCCCTGACCCAGGGATCGAACCAGAATCTGCATACATTGCAGGCAGATTCTTTTCCACTAGTGCCACCTGGGAAGCCCTAATGATAAGTTGAAGTGAAAATATTAGCTACTCAGTCTGTCGGACTCTTTGTGACCCCATGGACTGGAGCAGCCCCGGGGGTCTCAAGGATACTTCAAGGATTTCCCCATGGACACTATTGGCCTGAGCTGGTGAAAAATAACTCCAACCACCATGGTCAGCGGTCAGGAACTCTTTCCCGGCCACATGCCACAGGGTGGTCTTGGTAAGGACCTTGCCATCCTCAGATCTCAGTTTCCCCATGTAGATGATACTAAATGTCCCTTCTAGCTTTAACTTTTAGCTTTAACTTCAGTGATTCTAAAATGTGTTTAAAACTTGTTGGCTGTCTGGATGTTCATTTTTTCAGTAACAATTTAGGAGAGCTATTACCTTGAGATTTTAGGAAAAAACAATGAATTATTTTCAAACACCTCAGATAATATTCAGGCATGTTTCTCTTAACCTAATCTCCAAAAAGAATCACCAGCCATTCTTTTTGAATAAATCAAGTCGTAAATAAGCTAAGGAAGATCTCTACTTTCAAACTGACCTGTACAATTTTTCACTCCTTTAGGGCCACTTTTTTTCCTGATATTTTTTTTTTCTTTTTAAAGCAGAAAAGCCAATGGCATAAAAGATTTTAAACAATAAATCTCTTGGAAGAGTGGGCCCTGGCAGGGATGGGGGTGGGGGAGGGTTCTGTTTGTCTTCTGATGGGACTGGGTGACCTGGGACCTGGGTGGAATCTTCCTTGATCTTTGTATGCATGTCATGCCCAGCCTTTGATGGGACCATCAACCATGACCATTAGAAGGTTCTTCCTGGATATATACTATCCTGCTATATTCTTTAAGAAAGCCACACCCCAGCACCAAAAATTCCTGGTCCAGGAATGTCAGTCCACTCCCTTATTCTTGCCTGGAAAATCCCATAGACAGAGGAGCCTGGCAAGCTGCATAGTCCATGGGGTCACAAAGAGTCAGCCATGACTGAGCGACTAACACTTTCACTACTGTGTACATCTCCCCCATCTGTGTTAGCCAGATGTTTGCGGACTGTGTGGGGAAACCCACAGAACGGGTGTCTCAGGTGGAAGCAGCTTCTAAAGCCCACTGACTTCCTGTGTCTCTTTCCAAACCCAACCCAAGTGCCCTAATTCTTGTGAAATGCTGTCATTGAGTTCCATACTACATATCTTACATCTTTCTTTCTTTTCTTCCCCCCCTCCTCATTTTCTTTTGGTCTTATTTTATAGTTTTTGTTCCTTTTTTTGTTTTTCTCACTAGCATTCATTCTGTGGCCTTGATGACTTCAGTGAGCCAAGAACTCGGGTTGGTATCCTTTCATTTTCACTCATATTTTCTAAAACGGAGATTTCCTCCCAGCTCTGACTGTGACATTCCTTTAGGCAACATGGAAGGTGGCCTTGTGATAGATTGCTCAATGTCAGGCCCACTGGGCTAGAGGCATCTGGAGGCCGCGGGCACATTCCACCCCTGGGAGGGAGATTGGGGAGTTCTCAGTGAATAAGGTTGGACAGTGGAGACCTGGTTGTCACCCTATTGTTAGTTCATCTTGAAAAGGTGGTTATGGTTTTAGCCAAAGGTCCTCTATGTTTGGCTTTGTTTTTGGTTCTCTCTATCGCCTGTGAACCAGTTAATTCACCATACGGTCCACTATAGGCTCGCTATTTCCTGTGGGCCAGTAAATTCACCAAAGAGTTGGCTTCTGAGGTCAGGGGTCCTCAGGAGTCTATGACTTGCATACAAAATGCCCAGGAAGACTGTGTAAAGATCCCAAGCCCCTTACCTCTCCCCCTGCCCTGACCCTTGACCCCAGATCTGGTTTTGATGCCATCCCAGCAGCTGGTCCTTCTCTAATCATTGGACCCTGCCTGTCCCACACTGAGTTCCTGCTTTGACACCCAGGCCTACCCCCTTTCTCCCTGTTCTGAGTGCCCACCACGAACTGGGGACTGCCAAGGCCCCTGGAATCTAGAGTTCTGCCCCCCGAGTCCAGCCAAGGTGAGGGCCCTTTGAGCTCCGGGGATTCCCACAGCCCACCAGCTGCCTGGACCCACAGACTGAGCTCAGACACTGTGTCCCTGCCCGATGCCCAACCCTTGCACCCAAGGACTTTTCCTCGGGTCCTCTGTGCCCCGGCCCTAGGACAGCATTTGGCACGTGACTGATGTTCATTCAGTGCTTGTGTGGCAAGCAAAGGAAAGACCCCGGGTCTCATCAGATCAGAGTGAGGGTCACTATAGCAGGTTGGGGTGGGTGCAGGAGGACAGGCCATCTGAACCCCGTTTCCTCTTTTCCTGGATTGTCAGGGAAAGTCCGTCAGTGGGCTCAGCTGGAAGGTTCGGGACAATAGTGGGGACAGGCGAGGGCAGATAAGCAGGGACTTCTCTAGCCATCCTAACCCTGGATTCTTTTGTCATTTCCAATTGTTTTTTAATTTTCCAGGATATAAAAAAAGCTTATGGAATAAACTGAGTCCTATGGCAACCCCGACCCCACTCAAACCAAAATTCAACAGCAAAACAAGCTATTCCAAGCCCAGAGACTGAAACCAGAATTTGTGGATACTTGATGACAGTCCAAAGGGGAGGCATTTAGGATCTACGGCTGGGTCCTGGCTGGGTCGGGCTTAGGAGCTCTGCAGGGACCAAGGGGAATTTGTCAAGCTCAGGGCCACATCTGAGTCCCCGCTGTGGCACCTTCAAGAGCCCGAGGGGCAGAGACCCAAATACCAGGAAACTAAGTGCAATTACTAGAAACTGGTTGATTGGAGAGCCGCTGCAGTGTCTGGGGACAGACCCGCTTCCTTGTCCCCACACGGCATGCCTCCCCAGCCGTGGTGTGTGTGCCCGGCTAGACACTGACTGTATACATAGTCTCCATGAACTGTGCCCTGTGAATCCCAGAGTCTGTCAGCCAGAGTGACTCGAAAATGTCCCTGTGATCTGAACGCAAAGTCAAGACCCGGTCACCAAAGCCCTCCAGGTCCATGTGCAGCTGGATTCAGCAGCTGGAGGCCAGAGAGAGAGCCTCACCCACTGTGGACAGTGGATGCCAGGACCTCACATTTACAAGGGGGAAGCCACAGGCTCCATCACTCTTGTGGGTATAACACAGTGAAAGTCCCAGAGCCTGACTGTACCTTGAGCCATGGTGGAACAAGGACTGAGAGGTGGATAGAGCCCCCACCCAGACCACCCTTGGGCTGTCTTGCATCTGGGTTGTAATTTGCAAGGGGTTGGCAAGGAAGAAATGCTGTGTTGTGAAGTGATTCCCTGGAGTGCCTGTGAGGACCGAGGCTCGTTCTGCTGTGGTCTGAGACAAAGTCCATTCTCTTACAACTGGAGAGAAGGAGGCAGCCCTTCCTGACCTCAGGAGACCCACCTCTGCATCAAGCCTCTCAGGAGAACGGATGGAGTGGGGCAGCTCAGGAGGACAGGACACCAGCTGGTGGGAGTCAAGTCTCGGAGGGAATCCCGGAAAAGAAAAGTCCCTTTTGGTTGCTGTTGCAGTGAGTGGGTGGGTGGGGGAGCACCTCCAGGAGAAGACACCTGCTCATATGACTGCCCCCTCCCAAACTCTTGGAAGGAATACTTTTGGAATCAAAATAGATCAAGTGAAATAGAAGGTAATGGCTGTTAAGGAGAGAATAGCCGCATCTTATTGGGAGAAGCACCTGAAGGCAAGGATGGTTTGATCCCAAGGATGGAAAGATTCACTGCTCTGTGTTTGTTGGACTGCAAGAGCAATCCTGTAATTTCCAGTGAGAATAACCTTTGGAGAAAACCTAAATGACTGAAATTCAGGCCACCGGAGGAATCGAGGAGGGAGGAGAATCCAAGAAAAGAGCTGAAAGTTCTCAGAAGGACAGACTCAAGGATGGAGAAGAACATGGATCTCAGCACAGAAGGGGCATCCAGCCAGACAGAGAGGGATGTTCAAACAAAACCAAAGGACTAGGGGGCTCTAAGCAAACAGACACCCAAGACAGTTGAATAGCGACCATTCCTCTTTTGAAATCTAAACCCAAAGCACCACCACACCAGCCCCATGACTTTCCAGCATCTGACGACCAAAAGCAAATGAACTGATGTCTCTGCTTGGAAAAAGCAGACATCTGAGCACTCCAGGTAGCAATGGGAATGTAGACCACACAACGAACAAAAATGAAAAAGCACACCTACTTTCTCTGGAGCCAGAGAAGCACAGAGAAGCCTTGCTTTGCTCACTTAGCAGCTCAAGTCCAGGAGGCATGCAGGGTCCCTGGGAAGCTGGACCTACAGCACAGAGCACCCACCCATTGCCTCCCCACTGCAGGAGCGTGGGGTCTCCTGCCCTCCTGCCCCACACTTCTGTCTACTCAGCTCTCCCACTCAGACAGGAGGATGCAAACGATGGTGGCTTTGATGTCAGACCCATCCAGGTCCACTCCCAGACCTGCCACTCCCCTGCAGTGGACACTTGGCAAAATACTTGCCCTTCAGTCTTAATTTTGTCTATCTGTGGAATGGGGGTGATATTCTCACACAGCACCTCACAAAAGGTTTTCTATGGGTACAACTAGACAGTTAGACCCAAAGACTCTTAGACACTGTCAGGAGCTGTAGCAGACAGCATTGACCACACCTTTGTGGGAGTCGTCCTCAAAGGAGACCTTATGGCCCAAAGGGGACCAGGGGCCATTCTCTTTGGCCCCCAGGAGAAAGTTCAGGTGCAAGGGACTGAGACTTACACAGGCAGGTGTGGGAGCTGCCCTGGCTTAGGAGCCCAAAGTCCTCAACAAGAGCCAGCATTTCTTGTGACAGTCCTAGGCATCGCCTCCAAGGTTCCTGCCAGGGACAGGCCCAGTCACAAGAGCCACTGTACTCAGCAGGCCTCAGAGCTCTGGCGGTGCACCAGGTGCATACTCATGTTCTCGGAGGTCATCCACAGCTCTCCGCGAGCCCAGGTGAGGCACAGGGCTCAGGGCTACTGGTGTGGTTGTTGCTTAGTAAGGCAGCTGATCTTCTGCGCGGGCGTGGTTTCCAGGGCAGAGGAGCTACAGAACCCAAGTCAGTCTTTCACTCAGAAAGGAGCAGGCTTGGGTCCACCTTTACCACCTGCCTTCTAACAGATCTACTTGGGGTGAAGAGAGAGCCCAGGTCAAGTTCCTGATACAGGAATGTCACGCTATGCCATGGTGATTAAGTGCCCAGCATCCCACTCCTCATCCTCACCCCTCTCCTCGTACCTCATCCCTCCCCTTACACCTCACCCCTCCCCTCACACCTCACCCTCCCTCTCACACCTCACTCCTACTCTTACACCTTTACACCTCACCCCTTCTCTCACACCTGACTCCTACTCTTACACCCTCAGATCTCACCCCTCCCCTCACACCCTTACACTCACCCCTCCCCTTACACCTCACTCCTCCTCTTACACATCACCTCTCCCCTTACACCTTTACACCTCACCCCTCCCCTTACACCTCACCCTCCCCTCACACCTCACCCTTCCTCTCACACCTCACTCCTACTTACACCCTTACACCTCACCCCTTCTCTCACACCTGACTCCTACTCTTACACCCTCAGATCTCACCCTTCCCCTCACACCCTTACACTCACCCCTCCCCTTACACCTCACTCCTCCTCTTACACATCACCTCTCCCCTTACACCTTTACACCTCACCCCTCCCCTTACACCTCACCCCTCCCCTCACACCTCACCCTTCCTCTCACACCTCACTCCTACTCTTACACCTTTACACCTCACCCCTTCTCTTACACCCTTACACCTCACCCCTTCTCTCACACCTCACTCCTACTCTTATACTCTCATACCTCACCCCTCCCACATTACACCTCACCCCTCCTCTTACACCCTTACACCTCACCCCCTCCTCACATCTCACCCCTCCTTTTACACCTCACTCCTACTCTTACACCCTCACACCTCACCCCTCCTCTTACACCCTTACACCTCACCCTCCCCTCACACCTCACCCTTCCTCTCACACCTCACTCCTACTCTTACACCCTCACACCTCACCCCTCCCCTCACATCTCACCCCTCCTTTTACACCTTTACACCTCACCCCTCCTTTCACACTCACCCCTCCCCTTACACCTCACTCCTCCTCTTACACCTCACCTCTCCCCTTACACCTTTACACCTCACCCCTCCCCTTACACCTCACCCTCCCCTCACACCTCACCCTTCCTCTCACACCTCACTCCTACTTACACCCTTACACCTCACCCCTTCTCTCACACCTGACTCCTACTCTTACACCCTCACACCTCACCCCTCCTCTTACACCCTCACACCTCACCCCTCCTCTTACACCCTTACACCTCACCCCTCGCCTCACAACTCACACTTCCTCCTCTTCCCCCCTCTCCTTTTCCTCCTGCCCCTCCTCTCCCCTCCGTTCTCGGCGGTGGAAGCCTGTGAGGGGCAGAGCAGAGAAGTTTAGATGGCAGAATGTGCCCTGCCACCACCTTCTGGCTGCCATGTGGGCCCAGGGACCAGCCCTGCGGTTGACCAGCCATTGGGGGTACCCAGGTCAGGACTTGCAGTTCTAAAATAGCAAAGTCCTGGGCACACTGGGCTGTTCTCCCTCTACTGCATGTTCTGAGTTGCACTGACTGAGTCCTCTATCCCAGATGCACTGACTCGGTGCCCACGGCCCTGCGGGCTGGGAGGTAGGCTGGGGGGAGGTGCCGCTGCAGGTGGATAGCACTGGAGGCGCTCTGTGCATGCGCGGGCCCTGCCGCGGGGCCATAGTCACCCCGGGAGCTGGACTCCGTAATTTAGCGTTCACTCGGTGCCTTCCTGGTGATTGCGTTCTCTCTCCTCCTATCAGCCGCCTCCCTCTTTCTTGATCCTTGAGGTACACAGTTGAGCCTCAGGATCTGGGAGATCTGCTCTCCCCTCGCCTTCCAGGTTCAGTGTGTGATGAGTGGAAATCCCGCCTGACGTTTCCAGTACAAAAATGCATGTTTGTTTCTCTTTTTCCATTTAACCAGACCCTGCTAGATGCCTGCCAGACTGGGCATCCCAGCCAGCCAGTTTTGGGTGCTTCTCCCCTGAAGCTGTCTAAGAACCCTTGGGGACTCCTACAGACCCCACACTGTGCCCCCAGTTCCAACTCCAGGGGCAGAGCTGTGGCTTTCCAGACCCCTAGCCTCCTCTCACCTCTTCTCAGCCCTCCCCCACCGCCCAGCCTCTCTGGGGCTGCCGTCTGGCCTGAACGGGGAGCCCCTGTGCCCTGCGCTAGGCCAAGCTGTGTGTCCTTTCCGTGACCACCCTCAGCCCCGGGGAGCCTCACCCAGCTGCTGAGGAGGCAGGACCCTGTCCTCAGAGCTGCGCCGTGGCCATCAGTCCCCTCCCCCCAGGGCTCCAGCTCTGAGAAGCCCACAGAGGTGGTAATCCACCTTCCTGCCCTTCTCCCTCAGACACAGAGGGTTCATTCCACATGGACCCCACAGTCTTAGTTTCTTATCCAGAGAGTCTGAAGACACATTCTTAAGCAGAGGTTTTGGGGCTCAGACGCCCTTTACCTGTCCTGGAGGGAGGAGACAAGATGCATCTTTACTTCAGCTGCTGCCCTGAGAAAGGGCTCCCTGCTTCCTCCTCCTTGCCAGCCTGGCACTGCGATTGTTTTTATTTTTTAGGTGGTCACCCTGCTTCAGTCAGCTGTCAGTCAATCCCCCTGCTTGAGGAGGCTCCTGGCAGCTAGGGTCCCTGGGCGCTCGCTGTGCCAGGCAAAGGACCAGGCATGGAGAGCTAAGTGACTCACGCAGCAGGGAGGAGACTACTGTTTGTCTCGTTTTGCAAGAGGCAGAGTTAATTGCCTAAGAACTTGGCACATGAGGGGCAGAGTTGGACACAGCCCAGGGAGGCAGTCAGTGACTGCAAGGTGTTGCCTCTGTGCACCACCTGACGGTCCGCCCGCTTTGTTCACTGGGTGCCGGGCTCTGTACAGGGGTGCTTTGCCTATAGCAACCCATTTATGCATCAGCAGCTCTTGATATAGGTGCTATTTTTACCTCCCACCCCTACCTTTTATGAGAAGTTAACTGATTTGTCCAAAGTCCCGTCAGAGAAACACCAGAAATCTAAGTTGCCCCACAGCGCCCCCTTGCGGCCGATGCCCCACCCTCCTGCCTCTGAGTCCCCGTGTCTATTGCAAGCCCCTGAGCCTGGTGGGGGAAATATCTTAAATTTTTTCTTTTCTATTATGATTTATTGTAGGGTGTTGAAAATATGTCCCTGTGCTGCACGATAGGACCTTGTTGGAGTAGTTTTAAAGTTTTTCCCGTCATGTTTGGGAAATATATTTTAAAACACAATCTTCTTTCAACCCAGACTACCTCTCTGCTGAGGTAGATAAGAAAGCAAACAATCATTATCAGATGAGAAGCAAACCAGAATGTGATGTGCGTCACAGACCATCTGTTAAGAGATTTTCAAAGGTAGAAAAGAATTCATATTATGAGCCAAGGAGATACAGCCTATTCATACAGATCTTCAGGATAAGCAATAATTTGTTCTCAAATAAAAGAACTTGGCAACGTTATTACATGTATGTTACCCTAAATCCATCTGGATGTTGGGGTGACCTTCTGTGATAATTTGTTTTATACAAAGGAAAATGGAGTTTCTCATATGTTTAGAATGAGGTGGTTGTGCAACTTGGAGCCAGGTGACCACTAATGTAGGCTCCGACCCTCCCATGGGAACTGGGAGATGAGGTCCTATTTTCCTTGAATGTTTGCGTGCCAAAGGGATGGCTCCCAGGATCTTGAGAAAGATGTTCCTGGGTCGTAAAACTGGCAAAAGGCTTATTTAGCTTTTAAAAGGATTTACATGTATTTCAAAGAGATGAAGAACTATAAGTTTTCTAAAGTAGATCCTCTCAGAAAAGGGCAGGGGAAGTCTCATCCATCATTTTTAGAGACATCCATCTCTTTACCCTGCAGGAGGAAGTGGCAACTGACTCCAGTATCCTTGCCTGGAGAATCCTGTGAACAGAGGAGCCTGCGGGCTGTCATCTAAAGGATCACAAAGAGTCAGACACGACTGAGGGACTCAGCACACATTGTCTCCTTAATGGGGCTTCGCAGGTGGCAATAGTGGTAAAGAACGTGCCTGCCAGTGCAGGAGACATAAGAGACTTGGCTTTGATCCCTGGGTTGGGAAGATCCCCTGGAGGAGGGCATGGCAACCCACTCCAGTCTTCTTGACTGGAGAATCCCTTGGACAGAGGAGCCTGGTGGGCTGCAGTCCACAGGGTCGCAAAGAGTCAGACACGACTGAAGCAGCTTAATATGCACACACACCTCTTTAATGACATCCATCATTTTAAGAGAATCAAGCCTCTTGGTTTAAATTTCTGTTTACTCCTGTACCACTGGGCCTATTTATGGCCCTGGCTCCTCTTCCATGGCCAGCTGCTTCTGTTCTTGCCTCCTACACCCTCACAGCACTCCAGTTCTCTAAGATCTGACCAGGCCCCCCGCCTCTAAATACTCCAGCGGCCGCCACTTCCCACACAGAGATGCCACAGTCCACACCCTGGCGCCACGGCCCACAAGTATATGGCCCCAAGTCACCTGTCCTGCTTGAGTCCTCATTTCCCCCTTGATTGTATCCACTGGGCCAGCCATGGGCATGGCAACCCACTCCAGTCTTCTTGACTGGAGAATCCCTTGGACAGAGGAGCCTGGCGGGCTGCAGTCCACAGGGTCGCAAAGAGTCAGACACAACTGAAGCAGCTTAGTATGCACACGCACCTCTTTAATGACATCCATCATTTTAAGAGAATCAAGCCTCTTGGTTTAAATTTCTGTTTACTCCTGTACCACTGGGCCTATTTATGGCCCCGGCTCCTCTTCCATGGCCAGCTGCTTCTGTTCTTGCCTCCTACACCCTCACAGCACTCCAGTTCTCTAAGATCTGACCAGGCCCCCTGCCTCTAAACACTCCAGCGACCGCCACTTCCCACACAGAGATGCCACAGTCCACACCCTGGCGCCGCGGCCCACAGGTATATGGCCCCAAGTCACCTGTCCTGCTTGAGTCCTCATTTCCCCCTTGATTGTATCCACTGGGCCAGCCAAACCCAATTGCTCCCATCACCTTCACCTTCCTGACTCTGTCCTGGGGCTCTGGTCCTGATGCTCCCTCCCCCTGGAGGAGCCTTCTGCCCACCTCTGCCAGCTGTGATGGGTCATTCCCTGGCCACCTCTCCAGCTTCAGGCTTCCCTACACTCGACATGATGTGTTTCCTCCTGTTCAGGGTCTTGGTTCATCCCTCACCCCTTGAGCCTTTTTTTTTTTTTTTTAATATTTATCTATTTGGCTGTTCTGGGTCTTCATTGCTGCATGGGCTTTTCTCTAGTTGTGGGGAGCAGGGGCTACTCTCTAGTTAGTGGTGCATGGGCGTCTCATTGCAGTGGGTTCTCCTGTTGCCAAGCACAGGCTCTAGGGCACGTGGGCTCAGTAGCTGCGGCTCCTGGGCTCTAGCACACAGGTTCAGTCGTTGTGACACGTGGGCTGAGTTGCTCTGCGGCATGTGGGATCCTCCCAGATCAAGGATCAAACCCATGTCTCCTGCATTGGAAGCTGGATTCTTTACCACTGAGCCACCAGGGAAGCCCAGTCCCTCGAGCTTTGGAGCCAGGCTTGGATTTGAGTCCTGACTCTGCCACTGCCCATCTCTGGGGCCTGAGCAAGCGCCTCTGCCTTTCAGAGCCTCTGTTTCATCACATCATCTCTAAAATGGTTCTGAAAATGCCCGTCTCACAGGGTTGTCAGGAGAACTGGACTAAGTAAGGCAGGATGGCCCAGTGCAGTGTGAGCTTCCCGCCCCCTCCACCTAGTCAACTCCAAGCCCGTGATAAATGTTTGCTGGACTCAGGAAGTTTAGAACATCATTTATTGCTGGGTGAAAACTTGAGCCTCACACTTGAGAATCTATAACACTCTCATGGTCTTGCCTGGAAATTTTATTTTACCTCTGCACACATTATTCAGTTTGTAACTCCAAGTGGCTTTTCTGCTTTAGGTGAGTGTGGGCATGCTGGCTTGTAAAATGAGAGGCTTTCATTCATATTGTATGACGTTTTTGCAGGTGAAACCCAAGTCTGCCACTCATAAATAATTCACCTGTTCTTGCCCTCCTCAAAGGATATTTTCCTGCACAATCTGAAGCCACCGCAGCCACCTGGAAATCTCCAGAAAGTCATTGTTGCAGATTCGCTTAGTTTTATTCAGTCTTGGCCCATGAACTATGTACGGGATGGAGCCGACCGCTAAAGAACGGACTGAAAAAAGTTTCAGTTACATTGTCAGAGCCCCCAGCAGTGATGGGTTTGATATAATGAATGTTGATGTGAAGATCGACACGTCCTGGATCTTCCAGGATGTAGAGGAGAGTGGTGAGGAGCAGGGATGTTTTCCAGAAGGAGCAGCTGGAAGCCCAGACGTGGACACAGGAACACTCTGCAAGCAGCTGGAATCCTCGGAGCAGAAGCTGTTGGCAGCTGTGGACAAGTACGTGATGTCGGAGTCTGGGCTGAGGAGCAGGTAAATATACCCTTTGGACCCTTCTCTGGGTACGTTACGAATCCTGGGGCCTCCTCATCATGGTAGAAGGGTGTATTAAATCGTTTCTATGGCTGAAGGAAAGGGAAGTGTTAGGCGCTCAGTTGAGTCCGACTCTTTGTGATTCCATGGGCTGTAGCCCGCCAGGCTCCTCTGCCCACGGAATTCTCCAGGCAGGATAGAATACTGGAGTGGATTGCCAAGCTCTTCTCCAGGGGATCTTCCCAACCGATGGATCGTTCCTGGGTCTCCTGCATTGGCAGGCAGATTCTTTTCCATCTGAGCCACCAGGGAAGCCATTCTGTGGCTGAGGATGCAGGTGAAACAGCCAATGTTCCATAACCTGCCCACAGCAGCCTCTGGCTCCTGTCTTCCCCATCCTCTGCTCTGTACCACGGGCACTGAGCCCGTCCCCAGGCTCCCTTGCTCACTGCTCTCATGTGGATCCAGCCAGTGGGAGGCCCTGAAGGGAGGAGGAAGGAGAAGTCAGGGTTCTCCCCACGCTCTTCTGCGCTGGGTGACGCTTCCCACAGTGGCTGCCATTCAGTCATGCCTTTGGCGTCCTCTGTGGTCCTGCTCCCGGGCCCTGGTATCTCCACCTTCTGTCTGTCTGTCCTTCCAGCCCCAGGGGCAGAAGTGGCCCCAGTGGTGGCTAACCTCTGGGTTGCCTGTCCGCTCTGTCTGGTCTTTCATCCGTTCCATCATCTTTGTAGCAGATTCCCTGTGTTTGTTTGATTCTCACTGCTGGGCCTCCTGGCTTCCCAGGTGGTTCAGCGGTAAAGAATCTGCCTGCCAGGGCAGGAGATGCAAGAGACGTGTGTTCGATCTCTGGATCAGGAAGGTCTCCTGGAGGAGGAAATGGCAACCCACTCCAGTATCCTTGCCTGCTGAAATCCCATGGCCAGAGGAACCTGGTGGGCTACAGTCCGTGGGGCTGCAAAGAGCCGGACACAACTGAGCACAGCACAGCATGAAGATAGCGGAACCTCCTGGCACAGGCTCTGCTTTCCTCATGGAAGCAGCATGGTCCAGAGGTGGGGCATTTGAATCCAGGTCTTTATCCAAAGCCTATGTTCTTGTTTGATACCTAGTTTTGGAGGTTGGAGGTCAAAGATTAAGGTGTGGACAGGGCTGGTTTCTCTGAGACTGCTCCCCATGGCTTGATGTTGTCTGCCTTCTCTCTCTGTCTTCTGTGCACGTCTGTCTCCTCTTCTTTTAAGGATACCAGTCAGATGGGATCAAAGCCCATCCTCATGACCTCATTTTAACTAAATAAACTCTTAAAAAAACTCTTATCTCCAAATACAGTCACATTCTAAGGTATTGGGGTTAGCTAATTCCAACATATGAATTTTAGGGGACATATTTGGTTCAAAGAGGCTTCCTTTGGTGGCTCAGACGGTCAAGAATCTGCCTGCAATGCAGGAGACCTGAGTTTGATCCCTGGGTTGTCGGGAAGATCCCCTGGAGGAGGGAAGGGCTACCCCCTCCAGTATTTTTGTCTGGAGAATTCCATGGACAGAGGAGCCTGGCAGGCGACAGTCCATGGGGTCATAAAGAATTGGACATGACTGAGCGGCTAACACACACATACACACATTCAGTCCAAAATGCAGGTTCTAGGGATTGACAGCTGGAAAAGGCAGGGCCCCAGCTCTGGAGAGATGAAAGTATAATCCACAGCTGGTTATACCTGGCAGTGAAAATGAGGTCACCAGGCCTGGAAGAGATGGGTGGGAAACCCCTGCCAGAGGAGACCCTTCCATGTGAGGAAGAGACAGACTAGCCTGGATGCACCATGAGTGATGGAGGGGAAGGGCCTCTGGGCTGGGGCTGGGGTGAGGCCGTCCTGGGGAGGGGGGTGTCCTGTGCTCGCTGTGGGGAAATGTGGGCTGGTTCCTCAGTTCTCATGTGCTCTGTAGCCATTCCCTCCCCAAATGTGGGCTGTGTCCCACAGAAGCAGGGTGGGAGGGAAAGCGAGATGCATGGCAGGGGTTGAGAAAAAAAGAGTTAAGGCTTACCAAGAGCCTGTGGCGTGGGCCACAGTGCAGGCCCTCCCACACACTGGTGAAGATAGCTGTTACTTGAACCCTGTGACTCACAAAGTGATATGAGCCCCTTTTCCAGATGGGGAAACTGAGGCTCAGAAGATGAATTACATTATCCAGGGTCACTAAGAGCTGAAGCTAGGGTCTGAATGCACAATTGTGAATATAGACTTCAGGCTAATGTCTCCATAGATTTCCTCTAGGTAAGGTACAGTAAAAGATTGATAGTGTACATTGGATTTCACTTCCGTTAAAGTGTTAAAATTTAAAAGTATTTATGGTAAAACTAATGCAACCACAGTGTTAGAAATTTGAGAAAGAGAACCCCACTCCCACCCCATAACACCATCATTGTTAGAAATTCACTTCCAACCCACATACAACAAAATTAATAATAACTGAATATTTGTTGAGTGCTAGCTTCATGCATTGGAGAAGGAAATGGCAACCCACTCCAGTCTTCTTGCCTGGAGAATCCCAGGGACCAGGGAGCCTGGTGGGCTGCCGTCTATGGAGTCGCACAGAGTTGGACACAACNTTCCAAGGAGTAAGCGTCTTTTAATTTCCTGACTGCAGTCACCATCTGCAGTGATTTTGGAGCTCCCCCCAAAGTAAAATGTCTCACTGTTTTCATTATTTCCCCATCTATTTGCCATAAAGTGATGGGACTGGATGCCATGATCTTAGCTTTTTGAATGTTGAGCTTTAAGCCAACTTTTTCACTCTCCTGTTTCACTTTCATCAAGAGGCTCTTTAGTTCTTCGATTTCTGCCATAAGGGTGGTGTCATCTACATTTTTGAGGTTTTTGATATTTCTCCCGGCAATCTTGATTCCAGCTTGTGCTTCATCTAGCTCGGCATTTCGCATGATGTACTCTGCATATAAGTTAAATAAACAGGGTGAGTTAATCCTTATAAAATATTTTAAATGAAGTAATGTCAGTATCCTCAATTTCTAGGTTGGGAAATCAAGGTGCTGGCTTAAGTATTTAATAACTTCTCCCCACTCACACACGCAGCCACGTGAGGGCGCTGGGACTTGGACCCAAGCCGCCTGCCCAGTGGTACTGCAGCAACAAGGCACCAGTTTTTCCTGGTGGAAGTTCCCTGAGAGAGTCTCCCGGTTTCATAGCACTCTTTGCAGCTCTACAGAGTAAATATATTTCCAACTTGTCACTAATCAGTGACAAAGGTATTTTCATTGTCTAGTTCTTACCTGTTGAGTGTCTACATGTCCTAGGGGCTTCCCTGGTGGTGCAGTGGTAAAGAATCTGCCTGTCATTGCAGGAGATGCAGGTTCAGTCCCTGGGTTGGGAAGATCCCCTGGAGAAGGAAATGTCTACCCACTCCAGTATTCTTGCCTGGAGATTCCCATAGACAGAGGAGCCTGTTGGGTTATATACAGTCCTTGGGATTGCAAAGAGTAGGACATGAATGAGCGACTAAACAACAACAAAAAGGTTTTCTGTGGCTGCTAAAGCAAATTACTACAAATGTGCTGCCTTCAAACAACACATATTCATTGTCTTTCAGTTCTGGAGGTAGAAGTTCTAAAGTAGCCTCACTGGCCGACAGTCACGGGGTAGGGGGAAATCTGTGCCCACGTTTTCCAACATTTATAGCTGCATTCCTTGGCTTCCGGCCTCTCCCCATCTTCAAGCCAGCAGTGTAGAATCTTGCTTCAGTGGTCACGTGGTCTCATCTTCTGCCGCTCTCTCATGAGGGCAGTTATAATTGCAGTTAGTCCCACCCAGATAATTCAGCATAATCTCTCCATCTCAAGATACCTAACTTAATCACATCTACAGTCTCTTGAGACCTGCTCCCACGTCTCAAGGAGCAGAGTCTGGTTATATTTGGAGGCCGTTTTTCAGCCTGACACAATGAGATTAGTCATTTTCTGCTTATTTTAAGTAATGGGATAATAACAGAATTAAATATTGTCCCAGATTTAATATTTCAGGTTGATCTCAAAAACTAAAAAAGTTAGGCTTCTCTTTTCTCATTCAGGTATCACCACATTTTATAATCAGTCAGAAGGTACTCCTCCCAACTCTCTGACCGATTAACGTCTCCTGGTGCTTCAGTGGTAAAGAATCGCCTGCCAATGCAGGAGATGCTAGTTCCATCCCTGGGTTGGGAAGATTCCCTGGAAAAGAGAATGACAACCCACTCCAGTATTCTTGTGTGGAGAATCCCATGGGCAGAGGAGCCTGGTGGGCTACAGTCCATGGGGTCACAAAGAGTCAGACAGGACCGAGCGAGTAAGTGTGAACACGATTCCTCTGGTTCATTTTAGAAGGAACATGGTTTTAATCTACACAAGACGGCACTCTCCTTTCTGTCACTTTAGAGACCTTCCCCAAGGGCCTCAAAACTGGAGTAGGAAAGGGGGCTCTTGGCCTGATCATTAATAACAGTGCATCATTTTGTTTAATCATCGCAATAACTTCCAGAGCAAGGTGCAGTTACTTCTTACAGATGAAGATCCTGGGGGTCATAGTAGTGAATGAGCCCTATTAAGGCCTCATGACTGGTGAGTGGCAGAGCCAGGAGACAAAGCTGGGTCCTCTCTCGGGGAAGCAAAGTCTGTCCTGGAGGTGCAGGTCACCTGGTGTGGAGCTGGGTGAAGGATGAGGATGGGTAGAGCTTGTCCACATAGGCTGCGAATGTTTCATGGTGATCTATTACAGAAATAAGACTGGCACATGAAGGGGACTTGGATACGAGGCAGGAGACAGACAAGTGAATCATTGCAGCTCCTCCTTTCTCAATGGGGCCAGCAGGCAGACCTTCCCTCTGGCTTCCTTCCATTCACACATGCTTCTCCTGTCTATGGAGCTGAGGCCAGGGCTCAGCCTGGGTATTACTTTGCATACGACACAACTTCAGCACTTCCTCAGGATAATTAAAAAGACTTCCAGAGGCTTAGCCATCCCTAACTATTACACAGGTCATTTCCAACCTCTCCCTTCTGTAAGTAATTCAGAGTTTTTGTAATCACAAAAAGCTTTTTCTGCATTTTAATCATGTCCTTAGAAGAGATTTCCAAAACTGTAGCTCAAGTGGAAAGCATCAGAGCACAGGATTAGAGCCTGAGTTTGGGAGTCACCGGCTTCCCTGATGGTTCAGATGGTAAGGAATCTGCCTGTATAATGCAGGAGACTGAAGTTCGATCCCAGGGTCAGGAAGATCCCCTGGAGAAGGGAATGGCAACCCACTCCAGTTTTCTTGCCTGGAGAATTCTGACAGAGGAGCCTGGTGGGCTACAGTCCACGGGGTCGCAAAGAGTCGGACATGACTGAGCAACTCACACTTTAACTTTGGGTGTAATGCAGCTTGGGCTCTATAATGCTGTGTGACCTTGGGCAACTTGCCCAGCCTCTCTGATCCTGTTTCCTTGTGTGTGAAATAGGAGAAAAGGAGCCCACTTTCAGGCTGATCACATGAGGATTAATCGAGACAATGCAGATGTTTGGTTTGGGGTCAGTCCTTCTTCATTGGTATGACCTGTACTGGGAATTACTGGTTTAGGGTTGAAGGGTTGAGAACACTGTTAAGATTCCTGGTGCCTTGTTTTTCAAGAGAGGCCCCTGAAGTATTTTAGATTATCTTGAAAAAGATATGTATGAATGTTTTATAAAATGTCATTTTTTTGTCTGAGTATCTAATTGACCAAAAAACAGAAGAAAGAAAAAAATAAAAAAGATGATCCTGCTGTCTGTGAAAGCCTTAGGCCACGCTTGCTGCATCCTGAGCATTGGGCAGTCTGAGCACGAGTTGGAAAAGAATTTTTAGACACAGAGTACTGCAGAAAAGAGTGAGTTTATTAGGAACAAAGAGCAGGTATAAAGTGGGCACTGCGAGTGCAGCAGGCCTACGACTCCTGATGGGCCGGGGAGAGTCGACAGTTTTTGTGGGTCAATAGCCAATGTTTATAGCCTCAGGACAAAGACAATTCCTGCTGGATGGCTGGTGTTAGGTGACTGGTTGGGGTGCGATAGAGTGTTTACTGGAGTGGGCATCTTTGCCTAATTGGGGTCAGGAAGCTTGTTAGTGATGATCAGGGGGCTTTTTGGCAAGTTACAAAGGGGCTCAATTAGCCTCAGAGGTGTCCTTGGTTCTGGGCCCTGCTTCTGTGGCATTGGTGCAAGGCCTCGCACCTGTGGCCGGGGCAGGACTCAACACTGAGTAAGCTCCTTGCTGCTTCGATGTGCAGGATTCAGGAGCTGGAGCTGTCGGAGAGGAACCTCCTCCAGAAGGTGGACCAGCTGAGCACACGTGTGTTCCAGGAGCGAAGCTCCTCTCTCCAGGCCCAGGAGCAGCTGGATGCACTGCAGGGGGAGCTTGCCACCCAGGTACATAGCCCCTTCTTCTTTCCAGCGCTTTTTTTCTTGTCCCAGCAGAGTCACCCTATGGGTTTGGATGTGGCAGCAGCTGCGCCTGAATATAGACCATGGGGCGGGCTGGGAGAGTCAGACAGGAGGGGTGAGAGGGGTCCCAATTCTAACAGTGCAGGCAGGGGCCACTGGACCTGGGCCAGGTCATGTGACTTCCCTGGGCCTCAACTGCCCCATCTGTAAAATGGGGTTTGCGTCCTGCCCTGCGCCCTCACAGGGCTCTGGCTGGGGTCCACTGGGTGGCCTGTGGGGGCTGTGCACCCACTAGGAGCTCTGGCCAGAGGTTCATTTCTGTGGATCTGGTGCCTGACATCAGGGGAGCCAGCTCTGGCCTAAGGACAAGGAGAAGGACTGATGCCGGGTCTCTGCCCTCAGGAGCTGGCTTGTGGGCAGGGACATAGGTGGGGCACAAGTAACTCCAAAACCGGGTGATGGAGCCATGAGGAAATGTGTGGGCAACAGTGTGCTTTCGGAAGCAGGGAAGGCTACAGTGATCTGGGCCCTGTGAGCTGGGCCTTGCGGGAATAGCATGCAAGGGTGGGTAAGAGCTTGGGCAAGGCATGGAAGTATGGAAGAGCATGGCAGGACCGGGAGTTGAGACAGGAGGGTCCCAGGGAGGACAGATTGTCAGGGCCATGGCATGAACCAAAGTCTGGAAGCCAAGGGGGAGCAGGACTTTGAGCAGGAGAGGCTCAAGTCAAGGTTTCAGGGATATCACTCTAATTGACTGGGGGAGAGAGGTGATGGAGGGAGGGGGCAAGTTAGAACATGACTGGAGAGGAAGTGGTGGTTAAGGGATTTGGCTCTGGAGGCAGGTGTCTGGAGCCAAACCCTGGTTCTACCACTCACAAGCTCTGTGATGTAGGCCAGGTGACTTAACCTCTCTGGGCCTCAGTTTCCTCATCTGGGAAATGGGAATGATATAGTACTAACCTTCCTAAATTGTTGTCTGATTTAAGGGAGTTAGGCTTTCCAGGTGGTACAGTGGTAAAGAGTCCATCTACCAGTGAAGGAGATGCAAGAGACAGGGGTTCAGTCCCTGGGTAGGGAAGATTCCCCTGGAGTAGGAAATGGCAACCCACTCCAGTAATCTTGCCTGGAGGATCCCATGGTTAAGGAGCCTGGGGTTACAAAGAGTCATTCACAACTAAGCAACTAAGGACATACACAACCTTAAGAGAGTTCAGTTCAGTTCAACCACTCAGTTGTGTCCAACACTTTGCAACCCCATGGACTGCAGCACGTCAGGCGTCCCTGTCCATCACCAGCTCCCTAAGCTTGCTCAAACTCATGTCCACTGAGTCAGTGATGCCATCCAACCATCTCATCCTCTGTCACCCTCTTCTCCTCCTGCTTTCAGTCTTTCCCAGCATCAGGGTCTTTTCCATTGAGTCAGTTCTTCACATCAGGTGGCCAAAGTAATGGAGCTTCAGCTTCAGCATCAGTTAATATGTATAAAACACTCACAACAGTAGGCATTTAAATAGCACTAGTTGCTTTTGTAATTATCCCTCTTCTCCTCCTGCCTTCAATCTTTCCCAGCATCAGGGTCTTTTCCATTGAGTCAGTTCTTCACATCAGGTGGCCAAAGTAATGGAGCTTCAGCTTCAGCATCAGTTAATATGTGTAAAACACTCACAACAGTAGGCATTTAAATAGCACTAGTTGCTTTTGTAATTACTAGTCTTTATTGAAATGTTCCAGGGGAGAAAAGACAAAGGCTGGAGAGCAGAGACTTGGTGGGCAGAGACCCAAAGATCCTGAGAGGCATCCTCTTTTAGCAAATAGCTACTCACAGGCGAGCACAGCAATTGTCAAATTGCAGGTTGACTCCCGCCAGTGGGTTGTGAAATCAATTCTGTAACTTGCAACCGGCATTTAAAGATGGAATTGACTAGGAAATATGAAAGGGCATCATCGCCTGTGTGAAGGGGAGTGCTGTTTTGTGAAGCTTGTTTCAGTTGTCAACACCTGCCACGTGTGTAACGGGCCATGTTCTTAAAAGATGTTTCTTACCGTGGGAAGCAGTCCAAAAACTTTGAAAAACACCAGATCGATTAGCTTTTAAAGGAAATAGGGGTGAAGCAGGGAAGATAAGAAGTTCAATTAAATTGAAGTTAGCTTTGAGATACCAGGGAGACACACACGCAAGGGCTGCTGTCTCCCTTTACATTGAACTCTAGGTGCAGAAAGGTGAGTCTTTCCTCCTGGGTTCACAGGCCATCATCATCAAGATCCAGGACTTTTTAACCCAAGATACAGTGGTGTTGTGTGGGCTCCTGCCATCAACAGTGTAATATCTTTGTAGAAAATCCTGTAATAAAGCCTGTAATAAAGCCTTATATACATGTAGGGTTTCCCAGGTAAGCATACACAGTCCTGGGACTTCCGTGGCAGTCCAATGGTTAAGAATCTGTGCTTCCATTGTAGGGGGCATGAGTTCGATCCCTAGCAGGGAAATAAGATTCCTTCATGCCTCATGGCGTGGCCAAAAAAAATAAAATAAATTTGAAAAATATATGCAAAGTTCTGCAGTCACCAGAGGTTCATACTCTGATGGGGAGATAGAAGTGAGGGTGATAAGCCAGAGAAATGCTGAGAGTGGGCTACAGACACGAGTGAGCTCCAGACACTGCAGGACCTGCAGTGTCTGTAGCCCACACTCCTTGCATTGTGTTCTCCTGTCATCAGGATGCTCCTGGGAGTGTCCTGTCACAAAACCCTGTTTCCAGGTGAAGGGCAGACGTTCAGAGTGGTGAGGGGGCTGTCTCAGGACCCCCTCGGAGACCACTTGGCTCAGCTTCAACCCAGGCCAGATGCTAATCCTCCACTTCTGCCTGGAACTATCTGCATTTCAGAGCAAGTTTGCAGGAGTGCGTGAATTCTGCCGTTTGTACCTGATATCTGCCAAATGACAGTTTGCCCTACTGTTGTCTATATTCGGCGTAATCACTTGCATACAAAGACACCTCTTTTCTGTGGCGACCTGTAGTCACTCCCAAAGGTGATCGAGGTAGACCCGTCTAGGTAGTGGAGCTCTGGGCTCCAAGCATCACCGACTGCAGGATTCGCACCGTCAAGCAGCCGTTGCAGGGAATCTGACTTCAGTTTCATCTGCCCCAATTCCCCCTAAAAGCAAAGTCTGCCAAGCTGTTCTCAGGTTTCCTCTTTCTCATTTGCTCTTCTTTGTTTTGTCTTCTGCAAGCTCTTAAGGAATATATGCACAGGTACTAACGGTTGAAAGAAATCTTAACAGTAAGGCAGATCTACCCAGGTGCATAAATTAATTCTGAATATTAGGCCAGGACCCTGTTTTTTTGCAGGGAGTGGGTCACCCTTGTCCAGTGTACAGCCCATGGGTCTGCGAGGTCAAGGTTTAAGATCAGAGAGGTGTGTTCCCGGACAGGCAGGGAGGCATGCAGAAACGAAAATGCTTGAGACAGGCACATGGTAGATCAGTGACTTTTAGCCGGTTGACATTCTGCAGGTCACTTCTCGGTAGCTCCCAGGGTCGTATTCACAGTAAGGAATGGCTGCTGTGACACTGTTGATCTTGTCTCGGCCAGAAGTCACGGTCAGCTGACCCTTACTGGACCAGGCATGGACCTTTCAGGCACCGGGCAGTGGAGGGGTCTGGGAGGTTCTGGCGTGGAAGAAGCGACACTGCGAGGGCTCCAGGTGGCAGCTCTTTTCAAACTAGTGTGGGGGTATTCTGTGTTGGAACCACTGGCCCTCCCAGCGTTAGGAGCACGTCTTGCGGGCGCAGGTGCAGCGGCTGGAGCTGGACGTGCGGCGCCTCTGCCGCGCCGCCGGCCTCCTGCTGGCCGAGCTGGACGCCCCGAATCCCGGCGCCCCCCGATCCCCAGGTCCGGTCGACCTCCGAGGCGCCCCCGAAGGGGCCGCAGAGCTGCGCGCGCTGCGGGCCAGGGCTGAGCGCGAGCGGGATGAGGCGGCGCGCCGGCTGCGGGAGCAGCGCGCCACCGAGCGGCGGCTCCGCGGGCAGCTGGAAGAGCTGCGCTGCTGCATCTACGGGCTGAAGCTGTCGGAGATCGGCCTGCAGGCCCAGGTGGAGGAGCTCACACAGCACAACCAGAGCCTGCGGGGGGAACTGGGAGTCCAGGCCTCCGGGGAGAGAGCGCTCAGCAAGACCCCCGCTGGTCCCCGTAGTCTGGTAAGTGACCATAACCCAGGGCGCGAGTGATTTTCTGCTTTCCTCTTAACTTTCTTGCCCAGCCACTTAGTCAAGTCATGGGCTCCTTCATTCCCCAGTCTTCCTCTTCGGCCACCCCTCCAAACCACCATTCCCACCCACCCCTCCCTCATTTCCGTCCACTCACCCATCCACCCATCTACCCACCTGGTGTCACCCGTCCACCCATACAGCTTCACTCACCCATTCACCAATCCAGCCACCTCCCCATTATCTGTCCACCTGCTCAACCACCCATCCACCTTTCCCCCCATTCAGCCAATCTCTTGTTCACCCATCCATGCTCTCTTCTACCCACCCTCCATCATCTCATTCACGGTTCCAACTCTGCATCCAGCACTCTCCAAGGAGCCAACCAGCTACCTTTCATCCTCCATCATCTGTACCTCCTGTGCGTCCATCCATCCGACAGTTCATGGGTCCCTGCCTGTGCCAGGCCCCAGGTGCTCTCTCCACATGTCCTATGCTCCTGTCTCCCCAATCCACCCTCTCCCTGGGAAAGCAGTCAACCTTTCCCACCTCCCTCACAGCTCCAAAGGTGACCACCGTTCCCAGCCTGGTGGTCCTGTATGCGCGTCTTCATCTCTGCTTCCTTAGACTGTGAGCCCCTCGAGGGCAGGTCCAGGTCAGATGGGTTCTGTAGCTGCCGCCCCAGCAGCAGCACACAGGAGACCCCCCAAGGCTGGTGCAGTAGAGAATATGCAGGGTTGGGCCCCTTTCTGGTTCTCCTGCTTACTAGCTGTGTGACCCTGATCAAGTTTCTAAAGCTCTGGAGCCAAGGGCAGGCTGGACACTTATGTTATCATCTAACTGATTAGAAGAGCAAAAATGTGTGTTTAATAACACTCCTGCCATGTGCTTGGCACCTTGTGGTGTTTTCAAAGGCATTGTTTAATGTTCATAAATCTGTGAAGCGGGTACTACCACTGTCCACACTGCGCAGAGGAGGCTGAGGCTCAGAGAGGCAGTGCACTGGCCTGTTGCCACACAGCTCAGAAGAGGCAGAACTGGGATTTGATCCACACGGCTCGTGAGTCCAGGGTGCTCAGTTTCTCCCACACGAGGCTGCTTCCCTGTAAAGGGAGAGTTAATTCGGCTCCCTCCAAGAGATCAGGATCCCACTGGTTCAGTTTGCATTTAAGCAAAAATCAGGAAGCCACCTTAGCCCAAAGAAGATGGCTCATTGAAAAAAAAATCATTATTATCTTCCGGCCTGGACAGTCTGTTTCAAATTAACTGGAACTTGAGTTTCCTCAAGATCATGAAGTGTATCCCGCATAGATTGTTTTAATAATGAGTTTGTCTGTGATCACAGTTTCTCTCTCTCTTTTTTTTTTTTACAGTTTCTCTTTTTAGTATTTCATCCTGCCAATGTCACCTTTGCATGTCCTGTTCGTTCTTCCTCTGTTAGGTTCATCAGATAAAAGGAAAACAGTGTACCTTTGATATTGGCACCTTGTTGTAATTTCAGAAAATAAATGGCATAGAGATGGAAATTGTCCTTTAGAATCCTTTCTATAATTTTCCTAAACTTAAGACTTTAATTTAGGCTGTTGGTTTATATCGTTTATTCTCCCAATCTCTCTGCCCTGCTACTCTCTCTTTTATCTAAGGGAAAGGCTGAACACCTAAATGTTTTAGTGATGAGTAAATATTTTGTACGTTTTACGTTCTCACATTTAATCTTTAGAGCAGCCTTGCAAGCCAGGTGCAATTCCACTGACTAGATGGAGAAATTGAGACCCAGGAGGGTCTCCAAAGAATCAAGGCCAGCAAGGGGACACGGGTCAGATCAGAGCTGTGACTCCAAGATGCTGTCCTTACCTTGGGACCCTGGGGCCAGAGTTGGATCTTGAGCAGTTTGGTGCTGTGTCAGTGGCTGCATTCAGTAGCTTGGGTGCCATCCGTTATAAGCCCCTTGTTGACACACATCTGTGGCTTTTTAGATGTTTCAGGCCTTATCATTGCCTGAAACTTGAGGAGAACTGCGTCTCTTAAGGGCTCATGCTTTCAAGACTTTGCTGGAGGTTGCAGTGCCCAGTCAAAAGTCTCTCAAAAATTCCCTGAATTGCCCATCAAGTGTGGTCCCCAGCCAGTTCTGCCTCTAACATCGGGAGAAGCTGGCCCGTTATCAGATGAGTAGCAGAGGGAGCAGGGGCCTGTGGAATAGAAAATGCTGATCCTTAAACGTGGGAAACACATACACTGGGGTGCGAGGCTCACGCTTTAAGTGTCAGGGGGCACCCCAAGTGGACAGAGCCGTTCAGCTCTCTCTCTCACCAGGCGTGATAAAGTCCGGCAGGTTACTAAGCCTTTCTGTGACTCAGTGTTCTCAACTGTGAAATGGGAACCATACTGAGACCTGCTTCTGGTGTGATTATGAGGATGCAGTGAGAAAGTCCAGGGAAGACCCTGGCACAGAGTCTTACCTGGTAAGATTTAGATTCTGTCGCATCATTGTCACTGTCACCATCGTCACCTTCACCATCACGTCTTCATGGGCTTGTCTTGTCCAGCGGAGGTTTGATGGAATCACTCACACTGCTTACATCATGGTTTCCTCTTTCCTGTCTTTTTGTTTGCCCCAAGAGCTTAGGCTTCACTGTGTGCTAAGTATCTTCAGTCTTGTCCAACTCTTTGCAATCCCATGGACTGTAGGCTGCCAGGCTTCTCTGTCCATGGGATTCTCCAGGCAATAATACTGGAGTCAGTTGCCATTTCCTTCTCCAAGGGATCTTCCCGACCCGTGGATTGAACCTGCATCTCTTAAGTTTCCTGCACTGGCAGATGGGTTCTTTACCACGGCACCACTTGGGAAGCCCTTGGAGTCAGTTAAATGTGACTGCGATTTGTCTCCTCCTATCTGCAGGAGATGCTGATGGAAACACAGGCTGACAAGGCCCTGGAGTGGGACAAGGCCCTGGAGTGGGACAAGGCCCTGTGATCACCAGCTCTCCCACCACAGCAGCCCATGGGCCAAGGGAGACGGAGAGCACTGTGGCCGCTTTCTGGGCAGGGCTGTCCCCAGGTGTGGTTCTCTCGGCCAAAGGGCTGAGAACCTCTGCCTGGTTTTAGAGGCTGGAGGTCAGTCTGCAGGGGTAGGTGAGATGGGCAAGGCCGGCCTGCTCCAGGATGACCTCACTCTTATTAGGGAGGTCATTAGGGCATCTGCAGAGGCCCTGTTACCAAACAAGGTCACAGCCACAGGTACTGGCGGGGGGGCAATTTGAACTTGAACTTGACTTTTAGGAGACACAATTCAGCCCACAACCGTGCTGTCACGTGGCCAGCGATGATTCCGGCCTCGCCTTCTCCTCAGCATCCTTCAGGTAGTGTTTCCTCCTCTGGCCTCCTGGGGCCTGGCCTCAAGGCCCAGATGTCCTTGACGCCAGGCCCAGCCTCTCTGGGGCAAGTGCCCATGAACCGCAGGATGAGCTGCTGAAGGCAGGGTCCTCAGGCTGCTTCCATAGTCATCCTGAAAGACCGCCCCGGGCAGGGAGGTTGGCATGGTAATAGCCCACGGAAACATACGTGGACTCGTGTCACCCTCTGTGGTCGTGCAAGTGCAAGGACCCCGCCCCCACTCCATGTGAGGTGCCCCGTGTCGCCCCCATCCCCACCCCGCCTTCTTTGTCACCAGCCTTCCTTTCCTCCCTGCTTCCTTCCATCCACACACAGGATCGTTCAGGTCCTCTCTGTTTTCTGCCACAACCCCAGCTCCAGCACAGCACTTGACATGGGAAGGAGCTTGATAGAAATTTATCAAGTGCAAGGAGGGAGGAAGGGCCACAGGTGTCTGAGTCTATTATTGGGGCCCCGGGGGTGGGTTCAGGCCCCTTTCAGCCTGTGTCTCAGATGTTCTAGGTTCCCTGTCATCTCTGACCCTGTGAACTTGGGGCCTTAACCCCTGTGGATTCTGCTGGGCGAAGGGCTAGCAGCACTTGCTGCCTTCGGAGTGTGTCAGAGTGAAGAACCCATTGGAGCATGAGTGCATGAGCCCTTTAAACATGGAACAAATGTCGGGGACCATTTCAGTATAAAATGTCACGGGATGGTCACTGATTCTGGCTTTTAGCAATCTAGCAGCTTGTCTGAGAGAGTGTTATTGGCAAGGGCTTACTTCGGCTGTCGGTGTCTGTTTCATCATGGTTTGTGTATTTCTCGTGTGGCTTATTCTCGCTTCCAAGAGGAGGGCTCCCATCCCCTTCTGATGGTCCCTCCGAGGGGGCCTGGCACCTGGGTGATCAGCTTCTTGTTCCAGACATTAGCATTTCTCCCAAATGGAGACAGGCAGAGCCAAGTCCCCTGACCTGGTGGGCCCAGAGCCTGGCCCTGCCCTCTGGGAGCCCCGAGAGCCTTTCTCGTCATTTCATTTTATGCCTTGATTTCCCTATTGATCGAATAGAGAGGTAAGTGCTATGAGGGTTTCCTGCAGTGCCCTGGCAAAGGACCACAGACTGGGTGATCTCAACTACAGTCCTGGAGCCTGAAAGTCCGAGATCACGGTGTCTGCAGGGTCATTCCTTCTGAGACTTGTGAGGGAGGATGAGTTCCAGGCCTCTCTTCTTCACTGTCTTCTCCTTGTGTCTCGTTGTCTTCCTTCTATATGTGTCTGTATTCAAATGTCCCCTTTTTATAAGGACACTGGTCACAGTGGATTAAGGCCTGCCCTAATGACCCCATCCTAATTAACTTTGTCTGCAAGGACTGTATTTCTAAATCAGGTCATGCTTTGAGGTCCTGGGGGTTGGGACATCAACTTAGGAAGTTTGGGGAGGATACTGGAGGACACATCCAGTGCATCCTACTGGATGCATTGTTATAGAGGCCCCACGAGGTGGTAGAACTGTCAGTTCTTGTTCCTTGATGTGCTTCTTCACCAACTTCATGCGCTTCTTCACCAGCTTCTTGTGAGTACAAAATGACCCCTGTGTTTGTTAGGGAATCTTTGCACTAGATGC